TTTATGTGTGTGTATGCGAGTATGTTCTGGCCATGTTGTGGGACAACATGCTCGACACATATAAGAAATTAACTTAAAAAGTCATTTTGCTGGCAGACAGCGTCCTAAAGAGCCAGCGCGAAGGTGTTCTCGAGCTGAGCTGCAGCGGGAGTGAGAAAAAAGGATTAATTGCATGAACAGCGACAGAGCGAGAGAGAGAGAGACAGAGAGTCAGGGTGAAAGAGAGAGCGAGACAAAGTAAGCGAAGCTGAAGGCATGACATCATCAGGATATCGCAATGGCAATGGCGCTGGCAACGCGCCGCATGAAGCACTGAGCAGTGAATATCCTGGCTTTTCTATAAGCCATTGACTTGCACACATCTGCGTCCACATCCGCATCCTTTTGCTTGCACACACAGAGCACAAACACACACACACACACACACACACAGATTGGCAGAGGCACAGACACGGCTGAAGGATGTGCGAGTCGCGCGCATGTGTGGAGTATTTTTTAATAGTGTTTCGTGTGCCTCTTGGCGTTAATTTATGCCACAAAATCATTTTCTTTTATACTCGCAGCCACATGCAAAATAAAAATTAAAACTGAAATATGAAAAAGGCAAAAATATAAATAAAAAAAAAAAGAAAAAAAAAAAGACGCTATGAGAAAATAAAGGCAAGCTACACGAGTTGCTTCGTACATGCAAATTGCGTTGCAGCGCCCGCGGCGATGAGACGCAGTTTATGTCAAGTGAAAAATGAGTGCGAACTATGACATGAAATATGAGCTCATCCCTCCGCTCTCCAGCCCTGGTGCACACATCTATTAGAACGCTTTGAAAATTCCTACAAACATCCAAATAAAATATGACAAAAACTTAGTGGAACTGCTTAACATCTGAAAGCACATACATAGCTAGCAGATAGCCTCTAAACAAAATTAAGCTGAAGAACTTGCAGCTAATAATTTGTACGGCACTGATGCAGTCATTTGTTAAAGACCCATTGAGAGAAGTAAGCTTTCAATGCAGTACAACATCAATTAATATGTAAAATGACAAAAAACTAGCCGTTGTTAACTCAACTAACAGATACTCTATCAAGAAACTCGATACCGCTAATCATTACTCACTAATTACTCACTCTTCATATTGTACAATACTCCACTCAGATACAATTTTTAACTATAAAAATAAATGACATGTGAGTTCAGTCTAATAAGCTTCCATATTTATTAGAAATAGAAACCTGAGAGTCAATTAAACAGTAAAAATTACATCGAACACCTTTCTAGGTTTCATTTCATTTCACTCCAAGCTAACCATGGTTTGTAGAGAATTGCAAATTATAGACGAAGATTAGCTCATAGCTTCAATCGAAATTCGAATCGAAACCGAAAACGTAAACAAAAACAGAAACAGATTATTAACGAACTGTATGACATAAGCGAACAGTCTGATAAGAATGGCTATACAAAACAGGGAATATACAACATATTAAAAAGAGTATTGTATATAACACTATTACGTGGTATTTTTCTTCATCCACTTTATACAATGCATGCGAAAGAAAAGAAGAAAAAAAACGCCAATTTGCAAAAGTTCAAATCGCAATTAAAAAGTTCGCAGTTGCCCCTCTCAGTCCGTCCCCAAGAGCGACGAGTCAAAGTTACGTAATCTAAGACGCAGTTAAACGCTTTGACTCAATTGAAATAAGCCTATGTAGTAGAGATTCCATGATAATCTATACTATATAGCAAGTAATATATAAATAATATAAACACTATGCTGAGTCTACACAGAGAGAGGCTTCAATGTCCACCAGACAAGGCCGCCATTTCATGTTCAAAGCCATTTGTCGTTTTCACTGGCATCGTAGAAGGTTGCACAAATTGAGGAATTGCACTATAAACGACGAGCCAGCGCGGGGTTATAGATAGTGACAGTACTACAAACGACCATGTGCATAAATGCAAGTGATTTGTTCTATAATTCAGTTAGTGAACACATCTTTCTAGACTTTCAACAGGCATCTCAAGACATTTACTTTCCCCTACAAATTTTGCAATTATAGCAAACCGAGCGATTTTGGTATTATTTCTCGATAATGATTTGATGGAAATGTCAAATGCATCCACTTTGATAAGGGCTAATATGTATTAAAGCCTTCTATATAAACCATCTCTCTTTCTCTCTATTGCTCTTTCTCTTTGTTTCGCTTCATTACTCCCTCTCTCTCTATATATATCTCATGTATGTCATTTTATGCCTTGCTCTCGCTCTTGCGCTCCTCCATCTCTTTTACCAATCAAATTATATATATATTTTATTACTACAAAAATGTATCACATCTGATTGCAAGCTATTGTCCATATTTCTTAATTTCCTATCGTCATAAATGTAGCAAACGAGTGAAAGAGAATTGATCTAGTAAATGGCTAAGCAACGGGATGATTAAAGCCACATTCACTCATCGTGTTGCCTTGGCTCAATTCATTCAACTCACAAAAGTAAAAACTAAATATGTAGCAGCACGATTTCAATATAAAATTCGCCCACTCAAATAATACTCAACTAAAAATAACGGCACGATATAAACACGAAACTAAAATATTATTTAGAAACGAGTACGTGCGCACAACTAAAATATTATCTAGACACGAGTGCGTGCCTCAGTTGTCTGATAAATCTTACGAGCATGAATGCTTAGCAAGGACGTTTATTTTTAAGTTTAAGAAATCATACATATATATATTTCAACAGATTTCGAATATCACTTGGAAAACGTTTGGGGCATTGGAATATACGAGAATCGAAACTGATGTCAGCTTGAATCAGCGTTGAACTTGACATTGAAACCCAAAACGGTGAGATACGCTCTGAAGTATATGAAATAAAGTTATATATAAAATAAAATAAATATATTTATATATTTACTAACATATATAGTCAGAGATAACAATTTGGCTGATCGGAACCAGAGCTCCAGCCACACAACTGTACAGCCGTTGATATACTGACACGTGACATTGTCGAAGCGAAACACAAATATCAGCGACATCATCATCATCAACATCATTATCATAATCATCAACATGTTGATCATGATTGCTATTGGAGAGGCGGCTACCTTTATCCCGGAGAATGCTGAACTGATAACAAGGCCCTGACTGACCTGGTGCTCAACCTTCTGCATCTCTTTGAAAGGCTATGATTCAGCGCTTGCAGCAATATGAGCCCTTACATAACCAGCGGCAAGTTTACTTATTAGTCATGTGAGAGATACCAGAGAGAGAGAGAGAGAAAGAAAAAGAGAGAGAGAGACACCATACATGATATCAATAGAAAATATATATGTATGTTAAATATTTAGAGAAAATATTTAATTGCAACTCAACCATGTGTGTTGTTCACTATAATGATTAGTCGTATGGTTATGACATACATAGTTGGTATAATAATTTACATATATATAGATATATTATGTGTATATACTCATTTTCAACTTTGGTAGTAGTTTACAAATAGATAGGTGTCTTGGTATTATTGATTCTTGTAATTGAGATTGACAGATCACAAGCTGAATTACGGTATATCGGCAGACTGGGAAATTTAAAAGCTGATAGTATTTCCAAATATCCATTTTTGTTTTCTTGTTACCAAGCAGCATAGCTATGCTATTTAGTACACCTTGAAATGCTGTTTTAGATGTGGATGACCGTGATTATTATATTATATTTATTTATTTTAATAAAAGATAATAAAAATAATTGGTAGTCATATATTTAGCTGATAGCGTTTCTATAGGTTTTTACTAAGTAGCATATCGTTGTGAATCTATTCAATATTCATAATTGCAGCAAAACGTTCCATCCTCCTCGCACGGGTTTCCAACTGTAGCAAATTCTTCAGGATCGCATTTCTTATGGAAGCAAAGGCCACCATGCTCCCTGCAGTGTTGTTGTGCTTTCGATACTGCAACGGAAGAATAACATATAACGAGGTGGGACACATACAATGACAGACAGCAGACGTTGATGGTTAGTATTTTGTTGTTTTGATGGTAAGTGAGGCCAAGAAGTAATACCAATTAAACCCAAAATCATCGATGAGTTTAAGGCTACGTCAAACATTCACACCTACAATGGTCGGGATAGACGTCATAGTCCGAAACGGTTGTCCCATCGGTTGTCTCATAAGTTCCCCCATCAGTTGTCAGGATATCTGCACAAATCAACTGCAGCATCAATGCAGCCACTATGCGGAAATTAAAATTTATTTATCTACACCTTCAAATCATCCATAACCGTAAATCCAAATAATTGAGAGTCAAATACATATCATTATATTTATTTCAATGTATTTGCAGCTTAGCATTTCGAATCCATTCATTCAAACAAACAACAAATTTGTCTTTTGGAGTCGCAATCGTTTGGTTCCGGTAAATATGGTGCATGGCCGCAATCTGGGACGCATTCGGCCTCAATCTGCTTTATATATGGTTGACCGTAATATAAATTAAATCTAATGAATTGAGAATCAAATAAATATCATCATATTTATTTCAGGGTATCAACATAGTTTTTCCATATATATATATTCTGGTTTCTAAGGAAAATAACAGCAAATTTCTCCGTTGGCGTCGCTTTCTCTAGTCGTGATGCTTCACCGCAACTTCTGACGCATTAGCCCCCGTATTTCGCATTTCGCGCAGGGCACTAGCTCTTCCGGTACAGCAACGGTAAAAGCAACATGTAACAGGATGGGGAACGAAAATTACGGACGAGAGTAGATTAATCATTCTTATTTGGAAGTCATGGATAACTTTAAAATTCCACACTTACTCTCGATAACCGCACAAACATATTGCAGCATCAATGCAGCCACCAAGCAGAATCCGAAAATATTTATGCTCTTCGACATATTAAGTCTTTAGTTTGACATCTGTATACACATATGTATATTGGATTGTCAGAGAAGAAGCCGAAGGAAGACTGTTTTGCATGACACGTTAAACTTGGTATTGTATATATATATTTATTTATTTATTTTATTTATTTTTATTTTTTTTTTTATTCTTGTTACTAAGCAGCATAACATTACGAATCTATTCATTCATAAAAACAGCATTTATTTCCTCGGATAGAGCAATCGTTTAGTTTGTCTAAATACGGTGCACCCCCGCAGTCGTCGGCTGGGATGCATTCGCCTCCGAATTTTTTACAAGACAGTAATGGTGCAACGGTGAGGCAACCTGAAACGGGGTGGGGAACGACAATTACAATTGAGAGAGACAGTAGAGCAGAAGTAACAGGCAACAACATAGATGTCGATTATTAGAATTTGATTGTTGAACGAGAGGTAAAGATATAGATGAATGTATAAAGTAATACTAATTAAAGTCAATCATTATTATTCTTATTTGGCAGTCGTACTTACCCACGACAAATTGCAACATCAATGCAGCCAACAAGCAGAAGCCCCAAATATTTATTTTTTTCGACATATTCAAGCCTTAGTTTAAGATCTGTATATTGGTTGGGGTTTTGCAGTAACGATAAACGTAACACTGATCAAGTCGAAAATTCGAATAGGAACCGAAGCAAGAATGCAGCTCTTTTTATATACACCTCTTAATAGACCATAATTGCTTTAGACATAGGTGATTATAGAAAGACCTATAGCATAACGTTACGAATTTATTTATCTACACCTCTCTAAGTGGTCTCAATCTGCTTTAGATATGGTTGACCGTAATATAAATTAAATCAAATGAATTGAGAATCAAATAAATATCATCACATTTATTTCAGGGTATCAACATAGTTTTTCCACATTTGCTGCCTTTTATATATATATTCTTGTTACTAAATAAAATAACAGCAAATTTCTCCGTTGGCGTCGCATTCGTTTGCTTTCTCTAGTCGTGCTGCTTCACCGCAACTTCTGACGCATTCGCCCCCGTATTTTGTGCAGGGCACTAGCTCTTCCGCCACTGCAACGGTAAAGGCAACGTGGAATAGGATGGTGAGCGAAAATTACGGGCGAGAGTAGATTAATCATTCTTATTATTATTTGGAAGTCATGGATAACTTTAAAATTCCACACTTACTCTCGATAACCGCACAAACATATTGCAGCATCAATGCAGCCACCAAGCAGAATCCCAAAATATTTATACTCTTCGACATGTTAAGTCCTTAGTGTGAGATCAGTAAATTCATTGGATTGTTACAGTAATGATTAACGTATCACTGATATATATCTATGGAAAACGGAGAAAGAATGTTTTGCGGAACACGCGCATCAAATGTAAATCTATTTATCTACACCTCTTAATAGACCATAAGTACACACTTTAGGAATTATAGACCGAACTTGAAATTTATTAAAATTATTGCAGCAAGCCATATCTGTCTCTAAAATATAGATATTAATACATATAAAATAATTAAACATTCTTACATAGATACTATTATAATTTTGTATTTATAACATATTATCGAATATTATACATAGATGTTAGTTTAACATTATATTTCCTTGAGCAATATTTATATTATCCTTAGAGGTTTTTTGATCGATTTGTTTACTTTAAATATGAAGAACATTCATACACTTCCATAAGTGTATTATACCCTTACTTCCCATAATCATTGGATTCAGGGAATAATAATAAGCTTTACGAAATAAGCGTATAGATATATACATATGTGTATATATGTAAATAAATAATATAAATATAAATAATATTAAAAATTAAATTATATTCTTTATGACTCGAAACAACATTTAATTTTTAGTATTCGATATTATTTTATTAAAATATTTATGTTCTTTTAGTAGTTGACTGACCTAAAGACTTATCAATGCCTTTTATTTGCTGTCTGATTGTCTTAATAGCTCAAAGGAAGTTACGAAATGGATAGATTTTTATTTAATGTACAGTGCATAAAGTATAATATACATATATAGCAATTGTCCACAGTTTGTAATGAATTTATTTTCGCACCAAATCACAGCAAAATCCTCCGTTTTCGCAGAATCCGGGTCTTCGAATTGATGAACCGCACCACTTCATACAGATGGCCATCTTTTGGTCGCAGGGTGCAAGCTCTATATTGGGCAAGTATATCGGATGAGTTTAACTCGATTTCAAGCAATTATACTTAACAAATTCGCTTTTACCATTGTCATTCACAAAGCTTGTCTTCAGATCTGCACAAACAAATTGCAGCATCAAAGCAGCCACGAAGCAGAAGCCCAACATATTTATGCTCTTCGACATATTAAGTCATAAGTTTGAGATCTGTAAGGTAGGTTGAATTGTCACAGCAACGGTTAACTTAACACTAACCAAGTCGAAATATTCGAATGGAAACCGAGGCAAGAATACTTTGCATAACACGTCAAACGTGCAAATCTATTTATCTATACCTTTTAATAGACCATAAATCCACACCTTAGAAAAAACTGATTAGTAAACCGAATTTTGAAGCATTTCAAAAAATTGTGAAAAATTATTCAAGCAGCTAAAAAGATTTTTTTTTAATTAAACCAAAAGGCTTAGTCCTCACAAATTGAATTAAAAAAATTTTCATAATATTTTCATAATATAATTTTTGTATGAAATTTAAATAATAATAAATATATAACATATATATCTTCCGTTCTAATAGCAGTTGACTATCTTAAAGGCTTTTCAAAGCATCTAATTTCTATAAAAGTAAATAAAAGTTGCCAAATGAATTGTTTTTAAATATTTACAGTGTGTTTTATTACAACAGTAGAAATATATTTTATATAAGAATAATTCGTACAATATATAAGTAAGAGTATTGTTAACTATAGTCTACAGTTGACAAATAATTTTGTAATGCATTTATTTGTTCATCAAAACACAGCAAACTTCTCCGTTTTCGCAGTCGGTTGCGGGTCTTTGAATTGATGGATTGCAGGACCTCATACAGGCGCCCAGGTGCTGCGCGCAGGGCGCTGGCCTCACCGGCACTGCAACGGTAGGGGGAACATGGAACGGGGCGGGGCACATACAATGCATAACAATGACAATTACAGGTGAGAGACAGTAGAGGGAGGAGGTAGCACACAGCAGACATAGACGTCGATTGTTAGTATTTTATTGTTGTTGAAGGAAAGACAAAAAAATAAAAAAAATCACAATAGATGAGTACATAAAGTAATACCAATTAAACTCAATAATTATTATTATTTGGAAATAATTTGTAAGTGGGAATTTGTTTAGGAATTGCTATACGCATTTGGGTAAATAACTGAGAGATGTTAAGGCGTTAGAAGCAAAGCTCTATATGCATTTTGACAAATTCGTCCGGAGACTACTTACACTCATAGCAACATTCAACGCCCAGGTGGGCGCTGGTGGGGCAGAGACCCTTGTTAGTGGTGGGCAGATTGCAGTCGCTGGTGTGCACACAGAGACCTCCGACCAAAACACAGTGACGATCGTTGGGGTAAACACGCACACCCTGAATCACTGCAAGTTGGGGATGTACAGTGAATATTGGATGGGTCTAAGGCTACGTCAAGCATTCACACTTACTATATTCGGGTGTGCTATTGTCATTCACTTCGTTCGTCTCGATATCCGCACAAACAAATTGCAGCATCAAAGCTAACACCAGGCACAGGCCGAAAATATTTATGCTGTATGACATATTTAGTCTTATCGGTTGTATATTTATATATAATATTGTATTGTCACTGCGTAAGTAATCCACACGTTGGCACGGTTTGCGTAGCACTGAGCGAGTCGAAATTCGTTCCAGATGCTTTTCAACAAAAAATGTTGTCGAATAGAAACCACGAAACGTTGTTTTGCACAACACGACGAACGAACGACAAATGAGGCAGCGGCAGAGGCTGAGGCTGAGGCTGAGGCTGGGGCTGGGGCAGTCAGAGAATCAGCCCGTCGATCACACAACAGACAACCAAACAAGCGAGCCATCCACCTACTGGAGAGCAGAGAGAGAGAGAGAGAGCAGCAGCCCAAGGGGCTGGCAGAGGGCACACCAGATAGTGCTGTATGCGGGCTCTCAGTTCAATTGAAGAGCGTGAGAGCCATTAATAATATTGGCGCGTTTGCAAAACAACAAACAGCAGGAAAACCCAACGACGGGCGGCGCATGAAAGATCAGCCGGCACTAGTTGGCACTCAGCAGGCAATGCCAACACCAACACCAACAACACCAATTGAGGCAAACACCAAACCCGAATCCAAAAACAAAAACAAACCCGATGCAAATGAAAACATAATTTATTTGAGGAACTCACGCGCTCTGAAAAGCACGCCAATAACGTAATGAATGGGCCATCAAATATTTAGACTCAAGTAGTATTTATGAGTTCTGAATGTTTATTGAACAGCAGCCACAACAGCCAGTATGCTCGACTAGAAGATACCCTTGAACTCAGGTTCAAATCGTTCATGTTTCAAAAGTCTCAAGTTGATAAAGGTAACTAAGTTATACATATTATTTCTGTTGAAATTTACTAAGCAATATTAAAATATTGTTCTATATTTAATTGTAGATGCATCCACAAGCTCAAGTGTAAAATTTTCAGTGTAAAACCCACTCTCAATCCTCTCTCTAGGTTATATAATATACACAATATTATCTTTGTTTACAGGGTATTCGAGCAGCCAGGCAGACGGCGCCATAGAGTATCCACAGAGTAATCAAGAAGTACAACTTCTTTATGATTAACCGCATTTATCGAGGCGTAACGTGATTTAGCTGCATTTAAAAGCAAATGATCTGGTTATGATCTCCGTGTGTGTATGGATGTGTGTGTGTGTGTGTGTGTTTGTATACTGATGTAGAAACAATCTGTAATTGTTATCAGCTCTCGTGGATTTCGTGAGCGTGCCTGTGTTGTCTGACCAAAGTTTTGCTCTTTTTAGGAATCAACAAAAATTTAATTTTAGCAAAATGTGCAAAAATAAAATATTGAAAACAAGTTAAATTAAAGAAACAGCTTCCATAAATTAGATCATGTGCACATCACGTGATGATGCCCAAGAGCTTGATCTCTCTGAAACAACTGTTAATGAATGAATGAAGCTCTTGGCAATTACAAACGCGGCATGAATACCCTGGCACACATAAAACTATAAACTTAACAAGCTGACGATGTGCTCTACAGCAGAGCTCAACATAATCCTAATCAGATGGACCATGAAATTTGTATGTTATCTAGAACATTCATTGAAAATCCCCGACTATAGTCATCGTCGCAACTGATAATATTTAGCTTTTAATGCTCTGCGTGTTTCGTTGTGCTTGCAAAACAAATAGAGAACAGCTTATTGATATTTATTGACATTATTATCGAGAAAATAATAATACATATAATAAGGGGGAAATACGATTGCTTAATTCAACTTGAACAGCTGTGAAGCTCGAGATGATCTACTTGAGCTGCTCATAAACAATTTAATTTGTGTCAAGGCTACAGATGGATATAAATATTTTAAAGCAGACCTACAGAAAAAGCTCTATATCAATATACATTTTCATTGAAGTTTAAATAAGTACCATATACAATATCAAAAAAACTAAATTATATTTAATTTAAAAGAATTTATTTTTAGTGCGAAGACCTTAAAAATTAAATGTACTGGTGTGTGTCTTGGCTAAACACCTGCTTGCTATACACGCGAATGCTGAACAGCCAGCATTGCTTGTTATGTACTGCTTGGCCTGCTGTACACTGCTTTGCAACAGCTTGGCTTTGCACTGCTTGGTATTCAGTTAATTCGTTTCATTTTTTTTTTTCAAATCTTTAATGTGAATCACTTTCTTGCGAAATCTGTGAGCAAATAATTGCATGCCTGTCCCAAATCATATTTGATTAAAAATGTATCATGATTTTAAAAGATAATATATGTTTTTTTATTGGGTAACCTAGGTAAAAACATTATAATAAATGGACTACTGCAAAATATGTAAGAATATTCTGTCATTCAGTCTTCTTAAACAGTTACTAATATACACTACTTAAGGCTAAAGTTTTACTATTGCTACAATACAATAATGTTATTATAATACATGTTTTACACTGCACTGCAAAATTGGCCGCATCGTTTTTGATCGTTTACCCAAAACGAGGGCATTTTGAATGAGCACCAGGTAAATATCACAGAGACGTTAATTGCACAGCCCCAATGTGGACCGAATGTGGCTTAAAGGCAAATGCCCCGTCAATGCTGTGCCTTGGGCCGTTCATCGATTGTATAGATGCTGGCTGGTGGTGGCACTACGGGCGTCACATTCGACTCATCATTCGCTTTATTCTCACTGTTGAACGGTATAACAAAGATGCTCGGCTTGGCCGCATGCTGCATTTTGACAACCGTATCATAGCTGGGCGGTGCAAATTCACTGTAGGACGGCGACGGCGTAGGTGGTGCACGCTGTGCTTCATTGGACGTGGCATTCGATTGTGGACTACGCGTATCGCGGCATCTGCGATCCGAGCAGGCCATCAGCATAAAGAAAGCACCCAGAGCCAGAAATGTAGCTACATACCAGACAATGGTAATCACATCCATTGCCGTCTGAGACAGTTCGTTGCTGGAGTCCACAACTGAGAAGAGAAGAAAATAATAGTTAATTAAATGCATAAACATATAGATAAAGCTGGCAAGTTCTAAAAATTGACTCAATGTGGTACAAGTGGACAGCTATTTTTAGCCCACAAATTGATATTGAATAGACTCAAAATCTGTTTGATAAGCCAAGTTATATATAATTTATACCCAAAATTGCAACAAAAGCTGCAGTGTGTCTTACAATTCGAGTCTCTCTGTTGCTGAAATTCGTATTTATTTCCAAATATATACATAAGTAATTTACACGTTTATGCTAAAAGTATTGCAAGCCTTAAATGTTTTTTAAATATTAGATTACAACAATTTTGTTATATTTGACTGCTAACGAAAATTCGCAATTATATGCGATAATATGCAAATGCAGTATAAATAATTGTTCATATAATAATATAATATATAGATATAATATATAAAATAATACAAAATATAGGATACGAAAAATAAATTTTCATTATATAACCAAAATGCAGAAGAAGGCGTGGCCAAGCCTAGGTCAGTAAATGTGTATATATATATCGCATTATTAGCTATGAAATTGTTGACTAATCGTTCTCTATAAAATTATGGGCATTCAAAAATCACAAAAATGCCTGCAGTTAGCTGACTGTTAGTTATATAATAATTATTATTAGTAATTTTACTTCGTGTTCCCTAGAGCAAATAGATCCCCATCAGCTGGCCTTTATCATGCTGACGTCTGTAAAGAACTGGACTGTGTGTCACAGACGAAATGACGCAAAAAAAGTTAATGCATTGAAACAATCATTTGATATGAGCGCTAGTCGTGAGTTCAACTGGACTGAGAGCTGAATGATTCTTTTTTTTTTTTTTTTTTTTATTATCATAACCTGTTTATCGACTCGTTATTAAGTTGTAACTTATGACTGTGAATTGGTAATAACGGGAAAACGTTCATGTATATTATTTAATATATCTATTTGGTTATAATTCATAGGAAAACATGTGAAATAAATCAAATTAATAATTAATAATTTTGTATGTTTTTTGAACTAGAAACGGGATCTATGAAAGTCGAAGCTTTTGCTAATATTTTGATCAATGTAAATCAACTATTCGTGTTTACTTTAGATCTATATCATCTATAAACAGTGTGTATTAAACACGCATATTTTCACATCACTCTAAGCTTATCTCTTCACATCACTCTGAGCTTATCTTTTGAGATCACTTTACTTACTATTTTTATAGACAAATATCCGTGTGTTATTATCCACCTGTTCGGCTAACAGATCCGTTCCGCTGGTGCCGTTCACACTGGTTAGATTGTATGGCAGTTGTCGTGTAAGTACGTTCTCCAAGGTGAGCAGATAGGACTGACCGTCTGTACCGCTCGCATAGACACTGAATACTGAAATGGTACCAAGAATATATGTTATACTACAAAATGGCAATTGGTGATATGAAAAATTATTTTTACTACGCCCGATCGTCCAGATAAGCTATCAATGGGCATGGCTTGTTTAATATATAAATATATATTGTATATCCCTATAAAGCCCAAACACTTGACAACCGATAAAAAAAAATGGTCATGCTTTCCATTCATATGCTATAATTGGGCAAATTTTGTGTTTATGAACTAAAATTAACGCATAATGAGCCGTAATCACTTAACTCCAATAGACGAGGGCGTAGAGCCTCTAGTGGATTACTGATAAGACCCGCAGTCGGCGTCGCTTAGTCTCCTAGGCACTACTTTAGCACCTGTCGTATAAGTAGCACTCGACTTCAGGTTCAAAAATATCATAAACTTACATTCAACAAAAATAAAAATAATTATTGTTGATTATTTTTACGCTTGTTTATAGAATTGCTTTTTTTTTATTGTTTTTTTTTGTTATCTTTAAAATTATGCTGCCGGAACATTCGATTGACAATTTCACCATCTATCAATCGACCTGTGTCAGTGGCGTGTCTTGACTATATTAAAAGTACTACGTCATCCAGTTATCTGAAGCACACAGCACACGGCACAACTTCAATTGCCATGACACTAGATTTTCGCATTTTGCCCTTTCTTATCAATTTCATCAAGCGGCCATCGCTTGCTGCCAATGTGGCATACACGGAAATTATTGTCCTAGGCTCACCATTCAGCAACAGCACCTTAAGTTCGATAGAAAACAGAAACCAGTTTGTCAAATTACTCATACGTCTCGTTGTCAAGTTAAGCAAAATCTACATGTGTTTCTTACACAATATCTTGGCGACGATGACACATGAGTTTATCAGAAAATTGTGGGGAACAATATGAATAAGTGCACATCCCATACTCTTAAGGGGGTGTGTCTAAGCATGTGACTTTCGAAGAAAATTTACCCAGAGCAAATTAAGAAAGAAGTTGTGACTAAGAGTATTGAAATCAGATAAATTTACATTTAAGTGAGGAATATGACCAAAGAGTGAAATGTAAGAAGCGTTTGATATTTGAATAGTCAATAATAAATAATTCTAATGAGGAAGAAACAAGAATGAATAAAGAAAAATGAAGAATAAAGACGATATACTGAATAATTCCTGTGAGTAATTGTAATGATATAATGACTGATAATGAGAATTATCATGAATAATAATAATTATAATTATCGTGAATAACGAAATTATTGATAATCATGAAAATGGTTATGCTAATCAATTCTTTAATAAATATGATAATCAATTATTTAAAAACATATTAAGAGTAGTATTATAATATATATGATGTGCAACAACTGATAACAATGTTTATAAAAAATAAAACTAATAATTAACTGCGCTCAACCCGCCTATGAAGATCGATGAACGTTAAGCATTTTGTTTTGCCGCAGCAAACAAAAAAGAAAAGCAAAACAATCAGCCATATCATAAACTCATTAAACTGCGCCAGGGTCTAATAATAGAATGCAAAATGCCAGAGCTGATAAGACAAGGGGCGAAGCCAAGTGCCATCAAATGCGCGTATTCGCAGTGTCTAGCTATACGAAATAAAGGAATGCCTAATTTAAAAGCTGTTGGCAAATGAGAATTACTATTTGCTTGTCGACAATTTTGTCGATTCGGAAATATGCGCAAATATACAGACATTCGCCAGATCAGCTGTGCAAATTGCTGCCACATGCGGCTGAAGGAATTTCCTGAGTCTACACACACATGGCCGGGGCCTCTCGCTCTCTTGGGTCAGTGGACGCAAATTTCAATTTAACGAATCTTTACAAACTTGAATATTGCATATATAAAGACGGTCACGTGCCGTATACTTGATATTTTAAAATAAGTATACGAGGAGGGAATGGAGGAGGAGGGAATGGGGGGGGAGTGAATGGGTTCAATTGAGAAAGTAATTTCTACGGCATTTGCGCTGATTGTACGTCGAGTCCGTTGCCTTGTTGACAATCTAAACAGAACTGTGCGAAAATTAGCATAAAATGCTGAGCCATTAGCAGCCACAGCGCCAGCGCCAAACGGTTAACCGTTCCAACTGATCTATATACATATATGAATGCATATATGTATAGACATATACATACATATATCTTAAAAACAAGAGAGAAATCGAGCGAGAGTTGCTCCAATGACGCGCTAGATCAGATAATTGAATTGAACTTGTAGGACTGAAACTGAGGAGCTGATTTTAATTAAATTATAGTTGATGTCTGTGCAGATCACATGCTCGCGAATCTGGAGCTTTATCAAACGCATATAAGCATCATTAGCGTAGTTTATGGCTCCGATAAGATGTGACAATACCGAATATGTATATAAGATGCTGTTGCCTCTACAGCCAATGAAACAGACGCACGTTCTACGCTTTAGTGGCTATAAAACAGTTAGGCCCTAATGACACCCCTCATATAAACCAAACTCTCTTCACTGGGCAAAAATTTCTTATCAGTCCATTCAGAAATTTCGTCATATCTGTGTTAAGCCCTCAAATATCATTTAACGGTAGGCGCCTGCCACAAAAAGTTAACAAGTTCTTTATGTATTTTAGCAACTAACATTGATATATTATTTTGACAGCCATCAAAACGGTCTATATAAAAGCTTTTTTTTTATGACTGCTGTTGTTGCTGTTGTTGTTAAAGTAGCAGCTGAAACCTTTGCTACTGCTGCGAACTGCCACGGAATTTTCCCATGCATATTCTCTATATGAATAATTTAAATCAAGTACGAACTGCGTTAACAATATCATTCATTATTAGCATTAAATAGTGATTATCTAAAATTATAACAATAACAAAAACAAAAACAATAATAATATAAAATGTGGCACATAATTCACATGCATGTATCTGAACCTATCTTTAATCTCTAATTACAACTTAATGCGAAATAATTTACACGGACGGCAAATGCTTCGTAGCTTATATAAAAATTCAAGCTATTGTATAGATATATCTTTAAGTTAAGCGTTAAACAATTTAATGGCGCTTCAAGAGTTATACACAGAATTTCTATGTAGCTATCAATATATTATATAATATTATTATATTATATTATATTAAAAATTAAAAATTGCATTTCCTAATATATGTAGCCATAAAATTAATATACTTTAATAGAAATTATATTATGTTGAAATTTGTACAAATATATTATTTTTCATGAAATTTAAAATTTATTAATTTAAGCTAAAATTTTTATCTTTGATTGCAATGAAAATCTCAAATAAAGCTATCATAGGTTATTCTACTTATATATAATACACCCCTGATAAATAGCATTATTTTATTATTATTAATATTGGAGCTTACATGTGATTAATAGCAGCATTGTCTGCCCCCTCGTCGTCGTCATTTTAGTTGTAGTTTTATATGAGCTCAAGTGAGTTTATACTATATCTATTTAGCAGTGTTCGTTCACAAATGTTTATTTAAGTTTTACGCAAATAGTATTTGACTTTTGCGATATTCTTCGTCGTTATTTAACGTAAACTAACGTTTCCGCGTTCGCTTTTACAAATAAAAATAAATAAATATGTCTCGGCAATTGACTGCGCAATCAATAATAACAATTGTTTATATCGATGTAAAATAAATCGTTTACTTTCAATTGCATTTGAATTTGAGTTTAAATTTGAATTTGAAATTGAAATCGAAATCGAATTTGAATTGCAACACGCGCACAATTTACGTATGTATGTATGCAGGTATTAGCATCCAGCAAGAGTTTCGATTTCCCACCAATCATCCAAGTTCAGTGGCACTCGACGCGCTCGCAGAGACCCCGCGAGTTGATCTTTCTGGTTCTGGTTTCCGTTGTCGACTGAGCGCAGCTCGCTGGCGCTGACAGTCGACTGGCTCCAGCTAGTATGGATACTCCCCTCTCCCCCCGCACACACACGCACACACACACACGCCCCTCTGCGCTGGGCATGAATCACACCAACACAAAATCAACCGGTTGCCGCTCGATCGCGGGGCTTCAACTTATTTCTATTTTTCCTATGCAAAAAAAAAAAAAAAAAAAGAAGTAATTTCAACAATTTGCGTATATATATATTTCTGTTATTGTTGCTTTTACTTAGCGTAACTTGGCTAATTGCAGTCACTGATCCACCCAAAAAACAAGTGGCTAAGACCCACAACATCAACAACAACAGCAACAACAACACAAACAGCAACTGCTGCAGCAACTGTCTCAGCCGGCAAAGGCAAAAGGCAACTGCAAAGCATTTGTCGATCGCCTCTATACATAACGCACAAACACATGCTCACTCCTGTAATTTATAATTATATATCCCTAGCTATACATATAGCCCATACATCGCATATATATACATATATACCTCCGCATGCCCGCATTTACATTTTTCTTGTCGCATTTGTCGTTGTTTTCGCACAATTTCTTGCATTTTGTTTAAAAATAAAATTGCATTGCGCTGCAAATGTAGTAGCATTTTGGCAGGTTTTGTAGGCGTGGCCCTAAAACATATTCGCATTCTTATTGAAACGGCAGACATGCTAATTGGTATATTGTAAAACTAACAGAAATATTCTAAACGGAAGCAACGCACTGTGAATGCCCTACAAAAAATCGAATTAAATTTGAAAAATAATATAAAAAGTAAAAAATAAAATAATAATAATAAGTAATAAATAAAACTAATCATTAAATTTAAAATTATTCATATGAAACTTTAATATATTATATATTATTTAAAAATTTATAAAACATATAAATCAAAACTAGGCAAAATCTCCAAAGGTTATAAAAACAATAAATACAAGGATAAACATGTATACCTCAGATATACAAAAATTTCTAATGATATAATGTAATAATATTCATAATAATAATAAACATAATAAACCCCAATTGCCTTATTTCTCATCTTACAGAATCTATTATATATTTAATATACCTTTCGCTTTTGTTAAGAACATCTGATGAATTTTGTAAGTTTTCACGCCTTTGTCGTCACTTGGAAACAATCAAGCGTTCTGCCGTCTGTCATTAGATAGATATATCATATTTATGGCTTGGAAACAGGTTTCTGCTTGTACTTCACATTGCTCTGCCGCAAACGATTTGAGTCTCAATGTGGACATAGCTTAATTGGTGTCGGCCGGTAATTGCGTTCTAGGTGGGACAGAATTGTACTGCCATATATGTTACGATACGTTATCTCGGCACAGAATTCTTCCAGATAAAGCAAAACACAATTTACAATAATGATCTGATTACTGATTTAAACAAGCGATAATTAGTTAAAGTAGATACCGATTGCCATAGTGCGAGTTGAGGTAGTTCCTCGCTAGACCTCAACTTGACCGTTCCGTTAAAGAGTCGTGCATTGACTCCAGTTGAGACATTACAAATTGAAAACATACATACATACATCTCTTTAAATAAAACATAGTTGATTGATTCGCTTGGGGCTTTTCATAATTGATTCACTACAACTGCTACCTGACGTTGAACTCTGTCAATGCCAATGTCCAGCTTTTCGACATTAACATTTGTTTGTCATTGGCATTGAATAGATCTGAGAGTATTATTATAAATGGCTTGTGCCAATTAACCATTGGATAGTTGCTAAGCGCTACAGTAGTTAATAGAGTTCAAGTGTTGTTCGAAAGCTCTTAAGGCAATATTTTTAATGTTTCTTAAAATTGCTAGCAGAGTGTGAAACAGGCCACAGTGGAAACAAGGCAAGCAACGCTTAACGAGCAGAGGACAACATTATAAGTAAAAATATAAATACAAGTATAGATTATATATATATATTATAGAAAGGTGTATTAGAATCAAAATTAGAATTGACTAAGACCAATTGTCAGCCTGAATTTAATAATGATAAAATAAAAACTTTCGGCATGCGCAATTAACCGAAATCAGAAATGCATTAAAAACAATTTGTAAGCCACTCTTGGCTGATTACAACTGGTTTTGGGCATAGTTGTTTTTTCTTTTGGTCAGCACGTAGTTGAGTCATCCGGTGTGTCGCTCTGTGTCACCAGGTGATGAAACCAGCAGCAACCAGTTGTTGAATAAGTGATACAGTACATATATATACATACATATGTATATATGTATGTATATGTACATCAGTTGCTTCCCCTCCAACAATGAACCGTTCAGTTTTAAACATTTAGTTGGTTTATTTATAGTTAATACGTATATGTGAGTGTGTTTGTTTGTATGCTTTAAATTGACCGTTAGCGGTTACATATTTTGAGTAAATACTGTATCTTAAATAATACAATATCGCTTATAGATTTGCTTAAACAATTGACGACCAAGGCCTGCAATAACATAATTGATGTCTTTCTGCTTACATTTTCGTACAAGCGTGTATATATAGGTAAACATTTATGTGTATATAATACAGGTACAACTAGATGGAATGCCGCTAATCTCTTGTGTTTAACATTTGCAGCTATTACATACATACATACATATATAGATATATATTTATATCATATAGATTGAATATCATTGCATAATACTTATGTTACAATTAGTTCAATGGAATCTTCAAATTTGCGCTAACTAGTTTAGTTTGTAGTTTAGCTTACAGTTAATACAATTGCATTACTAATTGATTGAGATTTCATTAGTGCTCGGGTTACATACGACATTGGTTGCATTTATGAAATGAAATACAGAATTTGGTATTAAACAAATTTAAAATAAACAAATCATGAATATGAATATAAAACTATTAATTAAAATAAAAACAAATATTTATATATACATATAAAATATTAAAATAATAATACTAAAATCAGATGAATCTCATATTTTCAAATTGAGTTGCCGTAGTTGGTTGTACTTGATTAGTATAGCTTGCTTGAACACATTTACCGAATATCTTAATTATGGCTAATTCTAATTCAGAAAACATCAAATCAGCCCTAACACTAGAACAAATGTGCATATATACATTGCAGTTATCTCTCTGCTAATTGCCTATGATGTGTAATTACTTACAATTACTTCCTTGTAATTGAACAAATACCTAATTAGGAATGGAACTGTTACAACAATTGTTCTGCAATAAATGTGAGTTCGAGTTCGGAGTTTGGCGCCAACAACTACTGATTCCTATCTGCCTGGCACAAAAACGGGAGCAATCAGCTTAATGCATTTTAGGCAGCTCTTATCTATCGGGGAACAGTGATTCGTAGCTGGGCGGCAGATCTTTGGGTGTGGCCGGCTGTTGCTGCTGTTGATAACGGCCCTGCGACACTGGCGACATATCGTGGGTCAGCACACCATCGTACGAAGTTGCCGTGGGCAGCTCTATGGTGGGCACATCAGACTGCAGGTATTATGGTATTATTTTATATGAGTATCTGTGATCTTTTGCAAATATTCGATTTGTACTTACCCGGTTACGTCGTTGATTGAAGCGTGCTGCAGATGCTTCGTGGGCGTGCTGCTGCACTGTAATGCAGTTCCAGTATTTCCAACAGATCCACACACAAAATCCTACGCCTACCATGGTAAAGATGAGCGATGTAATTGCCGAAAGGGCCACATTTGTTGTGTCCATTTCTTCAGGCGGAATAGCATCGTGGAAGCAGGTACCCTCATCCCGGCATGGATACATACAGTTTGTTATATTGTCTTGAACAAAATGACGCGATATGCAGGAGTATTTATCCTTTGGATTGCACAGAATATCGCCAGCAAACTGGCATTCGGAGTGTGCCGTCAGGACCATGTGTAGCTCAAGTGGCTCCGCCAATATATGCCGATCCCGATTGATAAATATGTGAACATGTGCGTCACGATCACGCTGATCGAACATTAAACGGCCAGCGGGACCATTGATGGAAATGTCGCTGCAAATCCGTTCGCTGGGCGAACGATTGCCGCTGCTAAACTGTATGTAGTCGATACATTTCTTGGTCACCGGATCGCTGCGTAGCTTTAACCGTGTGATGATCGTGAAAATGCCACGCGGTGGACGCTCATTGGTCTGAACCCGGAACTGGCAATCATACTTGATTTTATTAACCGAATGCCCTCCACTGGGCAGAGTTACATTCCAGGTTTGAGTTATAATTGCAGCGGAATCGTGTTCATCGGTTAGCCGTAGCATTGGATCGCCACGAAAGGCCTTAGACAACGTATAGATGAGCTTGTCCGAGCACAAATTATCCTGCAGACGAACTATTTTATAGCAATTGATTGCATCTGGTGCATAGAACGCAATTGCAAGCGTCAATTTGAATAGCGACCATATTGAGCATTTAATCATTTTGTTAAAATCACGACCAGCACGAGAGCGTCGGTGCTATGTAAGTGCTTGTGCGACACGTCCTGCGTGTGTGCTATATTTTAATTACTATGAATGTAAACATGCACGTTCGTTTGTTTTATAAAGTTTTACTGAAATATTCCCCAAACTTTTATTGTTTTGCATCCGAGCCAGGGCTGAATAACTACCAAGGCTACCGAGGGCTGCACGCTATTATTGCATTCATAGATTTATCGGTGCATTTATATAGTGACAATTATTCTTTACAGAATGCATTAACAGAGAGCAGAGAATATCGATAATAGCAAGAAGCAACAGCTGTTCTACAAACATGCGAAACAATTAAGTTTTTAGTGCAATTGGTTCTAGTTGGATTAAGTTATGGTTATATTGGTTAATGTTAAATAGTTGTTCTTCTATTTTGGTAGATTTATCGTATGCTTATGTTATTATTATTATATTTATAATAAAATTCAAAAATCAAGTGAGACCTTTACAGAACATGTTAAATTTTTAGGATGGCCACACATTTTAACATTATATTACTAACCACACACAACACGAGTGTGGAAAACTTATTTATATATATTTATTTCTAACTATTTAGACGCCGGCAACTGTTGAAGACGTAAACATCTACGCCGCATCATAACAGAGAATCACTAAGGATGCTCGTGCTGTGCACCTTTGTTGCCATTACCTTGTAATATGCCTGATCGTCTGGCATGTTAACGTCTCGCGAAAAATCCTGCTGAGCTATTTCTAGTCCAACAACCTCAACGCCACGGCAAAGGCGAACGCAAATTCAATGGCCACATCGGACTTTGTACTAGGCGGCCTGGCCTCCGTGGGCGCCACCTTTTTCACGAACCCGATCGAAGTGGTCAAGACGCGCATCCAACTGCAGGGCGAGCTGGCAGCACGCGGCTCCTACGTGGAGCCCTACAAAGGAATCGTGCAGGCCTTTATCACAGTGGCCAAAAATGATGGAATGATGGGTCTGCAGAAGGGTCTTGCGCCCGCCCTCTACTTTCAATTCATAATCAACTCTTTCCGGTGAGTAAATTGACATTGACTTGTGAGATAATTTACTCCATCAATTTGCTATTTCATCCCACTAGGTTAAGCATTTACACAAACGCCATGGAGAATCATTGGATGCATAAGAAAAATGGCGAGGTTTCCTTTAGCTTGGGCCTGATGTGGGGCGCAATTGGCGGCATTGTTGGCTCATACTTTTCTAGTCCATTTTTCATGGTGAGAACGCGTGGCTGGCTATTACATAAAGGCATGACCATATATAGGCAGACATATAGACGAAACTTATCTATGTTTTCGTTGATTGCTGTACTAATTTGAATGTCTGGACAAATAGAATGGCGAACTCCGCACAGATAAGACTGATACCTAATCTTTCTTTACTTTTTACAATGTAGATCAAGACGCAATTACAATCGCAGGCAGCCAAGGCGATCGCCGTTGGCCACCAGCATGCACACAAGTCCATGAGCGGCGCCCTCAAAGAGATCTACAGCAAAGGAGGCATAGTTGGACTGTGGCGTGGATCCTTGTCTGCCCTGCCCAGAGCTGCCGTCGGCTCTGGTGCACAGATCGCAACATTTGGCAAGACCAAATCATTGTTGATGGAATACGATTTGGTTCACCAGCCAACGTTGAATTCCTTTTGCTCAGGCTTAATTGCCGGCTCACTAATGTCCGTGGCTATAACGCCGCCCGATGTGATTAGTACGCGACTCTATAACCAGGGTCTTGATGCGCAGGGGCGTGGCCTTTACTATAAGGGCTGGCTGGATTGCTTTGTGAAGATCTTGCGCACCGAGGGCATCTATGGTATGTATAAGGGCTTTTGGGCCAATTATCTACGTATCGCTCCACACTCCACGTTAGTGCTGTTGTTCTTCGATGAGCTGATTGCCGTACGTGAAAAGTACAAACTTGGAGATGCTTCTTCCTGATTGTGCTAGTCCTTATCTTTGTGTAACGTTAAGTACAAATGTGTATAATTGTTTTGCTATTAGTTTGTTGAAGACAAAGTGAAAGTGAATCGCCAAAGATCAAGTCCTCCATTCCCAGTTCCAAACTCCTGCTAACTAAGGCTATCTATCAATTTTGCCGCAACTGTGCCTTATTGCTTGACTTAATTTTTTAAACTGAAAAATGAGATCAGTTTATATTTTTTTAAACCGTTATCCTCACACTTAGTCAGCTAATAGTATCCTCTTAGTAAGTAGCCGTAACTGTAACTGTGCAATACTTTTATTAAATAAAGATCGTTATTTTGTTTACATTTTATGAATTTTATTTGAAAAATGTTATTTCTGTTATATTTTCCAATTAGAACAATTTTAAAATTTGCTCAAATTTGCGTCACCTTATGTTGGCTGCGGCTCTATGTGGCGGCCAGTCGATTGCTGCAACTCCAAAGACTGGGTGAATCGAGAAGCTGAAACATCGGTGATGAAACTAGTTGGCGACGCACATTAAATCAATTAGTTGCTGAAATTAACAGTTACAAAATGAGCTCACAACTGACCCAACTACCCCAAATGTTTGAGAATTACAAGGAGACGGTGCGAAAATCGCTACGTGACCCTAACAAGCCGTGGACCAAAGTGTTTGATATTTTGGAGGAGCGCACTTCCGTCGATAGAGTGAAGCTATTTTCCGGTGAGTCCTGTCTCCAGCTAAACTTTACAGTGGAACAACAGGACTTTGGCCCCCCCGGCCATGCTGCATCAAATACGTGGCTACGCAACGTGACTAAGTGGAATTTTTTTTTTTTTTTTGAAATATATAAATAGAAACCGCAACCTGTTATAATGCACTCAAGCAGTCAGGCAGGCATCACATGAGGCGCCAAAATAGGCAAAATTGTTATACTAGCAAAGCAGGCTGGGATTACTTAGGGAATTGCATACTTTTTACAGCTCCACACAAACACAACACACACACTTCTCTCTTTTTCTCTCTCTCTATCTATCATATGTGAAAGCTGCATACGTGTAGGAGTGTGTGCTTGTGTATATATTTTTCCATAAACTTTGTGTCTTTCTTTTGTTTACTTCACACACAGCTGTCTGCAGTAACGTAATTTCTATCTATTGTGGCGCACATTCAAGAATCGCATTTTTGCCATAATTGAGAAACGATTATTTTTTAATTAAAATCTAAACAGAGGTCAAGCTCAGCTTCGACTTTGACCGGGTTTTGTGCTGTCGTGGCGCTTTTGCACACGTGTATAACGACCAGGTGTAGACCCATGCAGGCATACATATATGTGTATGATTGTATGGATGTGTTTTGTGTAAATATATACATATGTGGAATATAGAAGTGCTAACGCCAATTCTGTAAAAGCCCTAAATGTGGCTTTGGGATTATATTATGGAAATAAAACATCGCCAAGCAGTGCGACGAAATGTTCGCGTGCCTCTGGTCTACATTGGTTCAGGTGAGTCGCCGCCCAATGCGTAGCTAGACTGTGCCTGCCCGTATATGAGTGTGTGCGTGAGTAAGCGACTGTGTTTATGTGCGCCGCCTGTGCTTCGTCTGTCAACACATTTTATATTTATGAGTAGCGCAGTATAACAGTCGCGAATTTCATGAGTTGAGGCTGTGACGTCAGTAACGATATGTTCGATATTAAAAAAAAATAATAGAGGTTAGCTGTGCACGCCAGTAGCAAAATTCAAGTGCATCCGCTCGAGCGGGCACTAAATTCAACACTGAATGCTGGGTTCAATTCGTCTGCAGCGGCACAAACCATTTCGAATTTATAGGCGCGCAATGCGCGTGTGACTAGACATCAAGTGCGAATATGACAAGAGCTGAAAGGTTAATAATAGCCACACAGATGCGAGACGCTGCAGCGAATCACGAGCGAGCAAAGGGCAATTGTGTTTTTTACATCCAACCCAGAGCACAGGCAGGAAATAGAGATCGGCCATAAATCATGGCTTTCGAGGCATTGGAATCGAAACTAATTGAGATTTTCAAGGAAAATCCTGTTTTGCGGATTGGTAGACGAGCAAAGCGTTCCATTTGATATACATATATTGAACGGAGATTAACCTTTTGAATTGCATTTTCAGGTGCTGTCGCATTGTGTGCTGTTTATTTGATATTCGGCTGCTGGGCCCAGCTCGTGTGCAACATCATTGGCGTACTATATCCGGCCTATGTGTCCATTCATGCCATCGAGTCGAGTACCAAACAGGACGATACCAAGTGGCTCATCTACTGGGTCACCTTTGGCATCTTCACGGTCATTGAGTTTTTCTCCCACATCGTAACTAACATTATTCCGCTCTATTGGCTATTGAAGGTGAGTCGCAAGTCCTTGAACTGAAGTGTGATTATCTACTTGAATCTCTCTTATCTATTCTCCAGTGTGGCTTCCTCATCTGGTGCATGCTGCCCGTGGAAAACAATGGCTCTGTTATCATTTACAATAAGTTGGTGCGCCCATATTTCCTGAAGCATCATGCTTGTAAGTTACACACGCCACCTGATCTCTTAGAGAGGAAATATTAATGCGAGAATTTTCTTTTTCAGCGGTTGACAAAATCATCGATGATGGCATCAGGAAGGCCGGCAATGTGCTGAAGAAGGAATAGAGACGCTATTACGCTTTTTTGTTCACTTCCTTAAGCATTTTCGTAGCGTCCGCCTTCAGGAATGGCCCGTCACGCCAGTTTACATCACATTAGACCGCGATGATTGTCTGCACATTTCAATTTGTACTTGATTGTTGTTTTGGGCGCATGCCACTTGGTTTTAAAAACCCCTCATTTGATGATTCGCATTAGATGTGTTTGTAGTAAAATCTCGGCTTGTTAAACATAAATTTCAAAAAGAAGACAAACAACTATTTATTATGATGTTTAATGTATGACTAAATAATGCACAACTATGCCGTCTCGGCAGGCTTGGCGGCTTCGGCTGCAGCCGCCTCTGCTGCTGCTTTACGATTGCGCCAGGCGTTCATATAGGTGCGGGGGTGGACGGGGAGTAGACCGGCGATTCCAAGCAGCTCGGCCGCCGGGTCGGACATGTGAGCACCTTTGCCTAGCCAGTACCGTATGCGTTCTGTATTTAGGGCCACCAGACGTTCATTTGTCGCATTTGGCAGCGGATCATAGGAGCCCACTTGCTCAATGACAGGCTGGTGTTGATTCTTACGACGCTGTAAAAACGCTTTCATCAGATTTAAAATTATATATTGCTAAAATTTGAGCTCAGACCTCCATGACAACTATATGATAGAATGGGCGATTCGCACAGCCATGGCGCACAAACCGTATTATCTTGGCCGAATGCTTGTAAAAGCGACCAATGCCACTGGCAGGCGATAAGGACATTTTAAGGCTTATTCAAACTTCACTTAACAAGAAAATGTGTTATGAAAACAGTATACAATTATGGCACTTCGATTTCGATTTATCGGTTATCGGAATATCTATTAGTATGGACAAAATCGAATAGATCGCTCTAAATTCAATAGTCGATTGTGACCAGTATAATTTATGACAGGACTATATTCGAAGGACCAAAAAGATGTGCTAAAAAACGACATCGTTCAATTTTAGACACATTTTACTCATGCAACTCTGTGTGCCAACCAATTTGTGTACACACTGGTCGCTAACACAAAATGGCGTCAGCAGTCGAACACGAACACGAACACTAAGGAATTTTTCAGTGGTGTCTGTGTCTGTGAATTAATATTGGGGGTAAAAAAACTGTGTGCGTTTATTTTGTTTATAAATTTAATTGCAAATACGGCACATAAATACACAGCGCGTACACACACACCTACACATACGAATTCAAAAGTGCGCTTATCAATGAATTGAATTGAATTTGAGGCAGCAGCAGCAGCAAGAAGCACGCCAACGCCAACGAAGTGAATTTTTCGAGGGAACGGAAAAAAATGGCGCCCGCCTCAGCCACAGAAGCAAGTTGACTTTCTTTTCGGTGTGTGTAGTTCGTCGCCGTACTCGTTGTTCGTTTTCGTCGCATATTTGTCGCGATCAAAAATAGTGAAAAAAGAGAGAAATATTGCAAATTGCATTCAAAACGCGACGTTGACGTACAGCAGGAGGCTAGTATTTTGTACGTGATTTTGTATAACTACATACATATACATATAATACAAATACAAGCAACAGAAAAGTGCAATTACATTTGCGTTTGGAAATTTTGCGCTTTTTTCTCTTTCGCCTCCCCCTTTTTCTGCTTTGCTTCATTTATAATGTGCGCTGCACAGAGCAATCCGCCGCCCTTCGGCTATACTTGGGGTTTTGCAGACAACGGCAACCGTGCCGCAGAATCAGTTTTGGAGATATCGCCAAATATTAACTACACTGTCAGTGGGGAATCGGTAAGTGAAGTCTCAATTTGTATGTATACTTCGAATTCCCTTCGTTGCATATTATCAAATATGTTTCTATAATTTTTTCATTGTTTTTTTTTTTTTTTTTTTTTAATATCGAATGCGAGTGCTTTTGCAAATGCAGAATAACCAATCGACCCAACGAGCTAGCTAGCCAACTACCCCCCGCCACCCACGTAATAAATGTTTCTGTTGCTTTCCCACAGCGAATCGTGTTGTGTCTTTTCTCCTTACCCCCCTTTGTACGTTCCTGTTGCCCCAACAACAGCGCCACATACACACAAGCATATCGGCTAGAGATGGCCTTAAGATTTAGTCTTCCAACACGAATAACACGAATTGAATTTTCACATACCTGTAGTATCATTAAACTGAAACCAGCTGAAATATAAATAACATTCTAAAATATGCTTATTGAATACAATTTTACATATATATATATATATATATATCAGTTTAATTTAATCAATTAATTGAAATAGTTTTCAAGTAATACAGCCTAATCGGTATTTGTCTGATAAGTTTAAATATCACGCTCACATCCCTAATACAGATACAGCTACGTCGTCCGCTCGCTCGCTCACTCGTTGGTTTTGAACTCTGTATGTATAAGTGCATCAGCCATATATTCGTGTATATGCGTATGCAGGGTTGTGCGCGTGTATGTATACACGTACGATATACATACATACGTGGAGGCTCAAATACAAGAAAAAAACCAGCACATATACTTTTATGTAACTGCGTTGGTCATGCGAATGCGAGCGAGTGTGTTAGAATTCTTTTACCATACATTTATACGAAATTTTTTCGTTTCCATTTCATTCGTAAACATTCATAATTTGGTATTTGTAAAAAGTATGCGTAAGTATGTACATACATACATAGCATACGTATGCATGTAGATTTTGTGTGTATGCAAACAAACAATAATACGCACGTTGCGCTGCACACGCGGTGGCAGCTGATTGCAATACATCTCCCACTCTCCCATGATATTAGGAATTTAATTAAACATGTGGCTTAATTATTTAACGTGTGGTGGGCGAAACTTATAGTATGGCGTTCGCAAAAGCAATCGAATATAATCGATATTTATACATATATAAATACAATTTTCTATTCATCTAATTTTAAATAAATTTTACTGCATATTGGTTTTTAATCATGAATTTTATTTGTTGCGTTTCTGTTCATTTTGTGCGTTCATTTTGTTTTTGTACAACAATTTTCTTATACAATTGGCAGTACCTTTTTTTCTTTGGCATGAGAGTGCAACCCTATTTCGCTGCGTTTCTGCCTGCCTCTTTTGCGCACGTTTGTGAATACACACACACTCGCAGATAGTGTTTCGTTGTGTTTGAATTCGCCGCGTTGTGCTGTGCTGGCGACCATTTTGTGTGCATGTGTGCGGCAGTCGTCAATTCGCCGTTCGTTGAATATTCAACACTAACACATAGTCAGTGCACGCATACCAAAAACGACGCTCTCTCATGTACGCATACACACCCAGTTCGGCACATGAGTGTGCGTGCGGTGCGTGCGTGTGTTTTGATTACACTTGCTTACGTTTTGGCGCTCAACAAACTGTCAAAAGTCCAATTGCACACACACTCACACTCGCACACACACAACAACACATACATATAGCTCGAGCGCAGTGGAAAAAGCGCGCGCTTTGCTGTCGCTGTTTGTCTGCTCCTCTTCTTGTTCTTCTGCTGCCGCTGCTGCCTTCGCCGACGCCGCTGTCGCCGCCGCCACCGCTGCTTGCTTTCCTTTCATTTGGTATTGTGTTATTTTTTTTATCAACTGTTGCTGCGCCGTGCCGTAGCGCAGCGCTGCGCAGGTGTAGCGTGTTATTAAGACAAAATGAACAACAAAACAACAAAGCGCAACAATAAATACAAAATACTACCATGAATCAATTGCAGTGGCAACTGTACCTTGTACTAATCATTAGCATAGAATTAGATTAATTAACCTAACCCAAAATCTATGTATATTGGATTAATGAATGTGTTATGCAACGACCAAGCGACCAGTGTTGAGCAACGCTGAAAGCACTTGCACTTGCATTTCCTGTAATCTGTTCGGTTTTTGGGGACAAATCAATCAATCAATCAAAGCAAACAAACAAACTAACAACAGACATGAACAACAACAAACAATCAAAATACCAAAATCAAAACAATCAAATCGAATCAACTTAAATGCTATAGAAACAAACAAAATAACATCATCCATCATCCGTTATGTGGAGAGTTGTTGGTGCATCCATAAATCCACAAATCCACAATTAGCCAGCTGTCGCCAGTTATACTGACAAAAACAATGTGTACACACCCATTTTAGATGCCCTATCTGTTATCCACGGATGGATCATTGGCCGTACAAAAGGATGTTAAAGGTGCACTCACCAGCAATAAGGGCAATGTCGTTCGTCGCATGTTCGTGGTGAATGATTCCTCGTTTGCGCCCGGAACACAAAGGTGCGTTTTCAAAGACAAACAAAACAATAAATATGATATAAAACAAATCATAAAAAAAAAACAAACAAAAATTTAAAAGATACAAATTATCTCTAGAACAAGATAAAAAGCCTTTACTAAGCCTCGTTTTTTCTCGGCTGCTTCGATGCGCTCTCTTTCTCTCTTCCCACACTCTCTCTCTCTCTCTATTTCTATCTCTATCCATCCACAGAGTAATTACCACAGGCGCCGCATCGACGGTGGTCAAAAAACAGGACTCTGGTCAACAGGTGTTGAGCATAAATTCGCTCGATAAGAACTGTAAGTGGCTGTCGTTAAAAATCAGTTTAAGAATCTGTTTGAGAAATCAAATAAATTAGTGTTGCACGCGTTGTTGATGTGTTGTAATCGATTTGTATATATCGATGATTGTCAGGGGTTTCGCTAATCGACTGTTCTCTCTCTCTATTTGTATACTTCTCTTTGCTACTTTCCGCTCGCTCGCTGTAACCAACTTCCACCGAATGTAATATCCACTTTCTCGATCTCTGTCTGTCTCTCTCTCTTTCTGTTTCTGTTGTCGCTGTGTTTGCTCTCGTATTGCTGTCACGCATTACCAACACCAACACCAACACCAATACCTAATCCACCCACTCATGCTCCCCTCCCCACTCACTCTTCCCACATACACTGTCATTCACTTACTCTCACTCATCATAAAAATACACACGGCGGCGGCGGCGGGCGGCGGGCTGTGGCGTATTAGATCTTTTGGTCGATCAGGCAACAGCGGCAGCAGCTGCGGCTGCGGCAGCAGGTGGAGGTGATCCGGCGAATGCTGCACACCATCATGCATTGACAAATGGCAGCATTGTTGACACAAAAACTGGACAAACGGTATTAACCACATCGAGTGCCGCCGCTGCGGCCAAGTCGCATTTTGGCTCAATTGGAGCATTGCATCTCACCCAAGAGGAGTGCAATGAGATCCTAATCAAGCGCGCCATTGCAGCCGGCCACGGCCACCACCAGACGCACACACTCACCGCTGGCGACGGAGCCCACCACCATCATCATTCGACGGCGCCGGGCGCGACACCAAGTAAGCATCTCAAATCTGTGTTGTGTTCGACTATCTCCTCCTTCTCCTCCAATACGCTCCTACTGCTACAACACTCTCTGTCTCTGTCTGACTCTCTCTGGCACTGGTACTGGTATTCGGTATTCTCGTTGCTTACTACCTGTTGCGTCGTTAAGTCGTTGCGTTACGCAATGTGACGTCACGTTGCTTTACGCTGCGTTACGTTGCGTTGCGTCGTATTACATTGCATTGCTGCTTACCGTAATTGTTAGCGGTTGAAAATTCGAATATTTGTTATTAGATTTCGTTTTTATGTTTTTAATTTTTCTAAAAATATATAAAAATTATATTTATTTAAATTTCTTGAGTTCTATTATATTTTGTTTTTCTTTTCTTTTTTTTTCTCTTTGTTTTGTTCTGTTGAGTTTGTGTTTGGTTCGCACTTTTGATTTTCTTTCTTTGTTTTCTTCTCTTTTATTTTTGATATATCTTCCTTTGAATTCCATTTGGTTATTGTTCCGTTGGCGGTGCAACAACACTCTTAGGTGACATACTTCCTGGTATTTCAGTTCAAGTACAGAAAGTAATACAAGGACTCGAAGAGAACGAGGACTCGCAGGGCGACGCACCCAACTTAAAGTTGGAGCCAGGCACATTAGAATTGTCCCCAAAGACCGAACTACAGGAATCAATGCATTTCAGCGAAGTAAGCCCAACATTTATGTTACACTCACTTACACACCCACACACACATACACACTTAAACACGCAAAACTAAAACAAAACCACAAAAAAAAAAAAAAAAAAAAAAAAATGAAAATATAGAAATGTATATGAACTATTTATAGAAATCCCCCAGATTCGCATAGTAATCAACGTCTTTTTCTCTCTTCTTCGTGGTCTCTCTTTATTCTCTTTTAGACCGACGCCACCATCAAAAAGGAGCGCCCGTACAGTTGTGACGAGTGCGGTAAATCCTTTCTGCTCAAACATCATTTGACAACACACGCACGCGTGCACACAGGTGGTTGTTCTTGTTCCTAGCACATACCTATGAAATTACGAGCAGGTCTAACCCCAAATTCTCGATCTGCCCCCTTTCTCTTTCTGTTTTCTTGCTACATTTCCACTCTTTAGGCGAACGACCACATATTTGCACTCATTGCGGAAAAAGTTTTGCGCACAAACATTGTCTAAACACGCATCTGCTGCTTCACTCAACTGATCGGCCATATCAGTGTCAGGAGTGCAAGAAGAGCTTTACGCTTAAGCATCATCTATTGACGCATTCGCGCGTCCACAGCCGGGAACGGCCATTTGTTTGCCAGGAGTGCGGACGTGCATTTCCCCTTAAACGTCATCTGGTGACGCACAGTAAATTTCACGCCGGCGAACGTCCGTACGTCTGCGAAGAATGCGGTGAAAGTTTCGCACAGGAGAATCACCTGATTATGCACTCGCGGTAAGCAGCTCCACAATCTCATTGCTCAATGCTCAAAACTAAAGTCACATTATTTGTTTTGCCTTGCAGCTTTCATGGTTCATTGAATCCATTTGTTTGCGCTGATTGCGGAGCCTCGTTTCCACGAAAGTTTCAATTGGTTAACCACGGTCGCATCCACGGCAAGATACCACACTCCTGCACAGTTTGTGGCAAAGAATTTCTACAGAAGCGCACACTAGTTTCCCACATGAGGTGAGTCAATTTAACTAGTATTCAAATTAAATATCAGCTAATCGCAATTATTTAATGCTTTTCAGGCGCGTTCATACCGGCGAGCAGGCGCACCCCTGCGTTAGCTGCGGCGAAGGTTTCCTCACCAAAGCGGAGCTGCATCAGCATGTGCGTGCAGCGCACAATGGCGTTAATCCCAATACGAGCAGTGCTACCATAATAGCCAATCAACAGGTTTGCATGAAGATTTCAATATACAAGACTCTAGTAAATTTACGGTACATTTGTAATTGATTCAAAATTCAAGCAGCTCCAACAGCCGCATCATCATCCCGGACATCCACAGACGATCACCGTTGTCAGCAATCCAGCTAATTCAACGCTGCTCACCGTCTCCACAACCGATGCGAATGGTGTCACGCGTCCACAGTTCGTTTGCCGGTAGGTGTTTGCTGCCTTCAACAGAGCATAAAGATTAGCTAATGACAACTTCTCGATTTGCAGTGAATGTGGCAGCGCGTTTAATAGCCGTGAGGCGCTCGCCTTGCACTTGCGACTGCATACAGGCGACAAGAGCTTGATGACCGATCTGTGCGCCTTGACAGCAGCGCTGCCTGGTCACTTCTTGAGCACGGCCAGCCTTAATCCTGGCACTGTGGTCACGGCCAATCCGAACCTGGTGGGACAGAGTCCGGTGCCGGTGCAAATCATATCATCAACCGGTCAGGTGATGTCACAGACCACGCTGGTGCAGGCCGCCAATTCGACCCATCCGCAAGCCGTTGTCACAGCCGTGCCCACAATGCCCGTCCACGGGCAACAGCATCTGCAGCACGTCCAGCAACAGCAGCAGCAGCATGTGGTCACCGTGTCGCCGGCCAACAAGCCTAAATCGCATTTCTGTGCCAGCTGCGGCAAGGGATTCGCTGCCAAGCACGGCCTAATGCAGCACAATCGTCGACATCCAAACGGCGGCTGCACGGTGCGCACCCATGTTTGTGAATGTGGAAAGGCGTTCTTCCAAAAGAATCATCTGATGCTGCATCAGCGCCAGCATTTGGAAACAAAGCCAGCCATATCGCAGCAACAGGTATGCTAAGTGCCCAGCCCCCCAAAACTCCCCCCACCCACAGCCCGACCCCATAGATAACTAAAACAGATATTGGTCAATTATTTCAATTGTTTTTTAATTTGCTTTGATTTATACGAAAATAATGAAAAAAGAAAAACGAAAATATATAAATTGGCATAGATTATAATTAATTTAGTTTTATATAAATATTATATATCGTGGGAGCAGTTAGTTTAGCCTCTAAGCTATGCAATTTAATATAATTAAGAACTATCTAAGCCATTGTTACCGAGTATCAACAATAAAGCTTCTAAAACATATGCTTCTTAAAGTCGGGGGAACTTCTTCTCGGCGAAGGTTTCTGTGTCGGTCTGCAAGAGAAATTTCAACCATTTCAGGGTCAATCTTAAACTAAAGTAAATCAAGAAAACTGCAAAAAAAAAAAATTGTTTTTAAATACTACAGTATAGCCTAATCCTAATCCGGATACTTAAATGTTTTCAGTTAGTTTAATAATTCTATTAAAAATAAAAATACAATTCTTTCCGGTTTCAATTTTATTTCTTTAAACTTTTTTAAATACATGAAAAATTCAAGGAATATTTTTCAATATGTAAAATATTCTTACAGCTTAAAGCTAGATGTCTACAGACTAGGAATGCATATTATGTATATTTCGATTCTCTTGTTTTGCACTGTTTTGTTTTTCTTATCTCTTCCCTTTATAAAAATCACACAAAAACAAAAGAACAATTTAAATGATTTCACGATATGATAAATGCATTATCTTTTTTTTTAACTTCGAATACTTGCAGCTTGTTGTACCAACTACTTCTTACTAAATAATCAATAAAGAAATAGATCAATAGATCAACTGAACAATAATAAAATGCTAAAGAAAACTACATTCACTCACCCTCACACACACATCTACAGGCACGCATGCACACCCACACCCACACACACAGCTGATTGTTTCGTAAATACCAAAGCAAATTCTATTTGTATAAAGTTTTGTCTGTGCGCAAGTGTGTGTGTGTGTGTGTCCTGTATTTGTGTGTGCGTGTGCGTGTGTTGCGAACTCTCTCTGAAGAACTGAAAGAAAGAAAAAAACAAAAAGAAATTGATGATAAACAAATAAAACCAAAATAATACATAGATCAAATACTACAGTAAATACAATCGTTACAATCTTTTGTAATACGTGTATGCAAAAAAGGCTTCACTGTGCGCGTTTTAGGTGTGTATACAAAAAACAACAATATATTCAAAATTATCAAGATAATATTGTCCCATAAACAACAACTATATATAACTTATTGTATTATTGTCATGTGTATAATTCCTTAATTATTTGCCTGTTTTGTCGCTTTGTGTATGTGTTTTAATTACTATTATTTAAATCCTTTTTACTGTGCATTTTCTTAGATTTCTCCCTAGTTTTGCTATTCTATTTGTTAAACAAGACAAACAAAATTTCATGTCAAAAAGCAATGAAAATAAATAAATAAAATAATATATTTTTAAATTTTAGTTATGTTTTTCAATAGCCCCTTTTGATGATTTGCTTGAGCTTAATTCTAGTTTAGTTTTTATTTATATATAATTATTTACTTTGGTATTTAGTGAGCGAATTCTTTGTTTTTCATTTTGCGAATGATTTGCTAAAGTTTTGCAACTTTTTGCAGGAGGCCGAGGTGCAACAGCAACAGCAGCAGCAACAAGCGCAAGCTGCAGCTGCAGCCGCCGCCGCTGCGGGTCAACAGCCTGCTCAGGTGGAGGTGCAGATCGTATCCAGTGGCCATGGCCAGGGCAAGGTCATCAAATACGAGATCTGTCGCAACGTGCTGCAGGAGGAGCAGCAACAACAGCAGCAGCAGCAGCAACAGCAAAACTCCATGCACACAGAGTAAACTAAGAGACAGATAGAGAGAGGGCGAGCGAATGTAAGGGGCGGGACAGCAAGCGAGTGGAAGCGAGAGAGCGAGAGTTGATAACATTATGATAAGCATTTCTGTTGTAACTATTTGTAAATATACAAAGGCAATTTGTGCAATTGCAATTGCGAGGCAAACACGAAGACGAGGACGAAGACGAAGACTTGCTCCCGCCCTCAAGAGAAACACACTCACACACATACACATATGCATATGTACACCCACCCACGCACACCAGCAAGCATATATACATATATATAAATATATAAATATATATATATATAGAACTTATAATATATGAACAGGGCAGCTTTGCAAGCCTCACACACACACACACACACACGCAACAGCTAAAAGTGAATATAAGAGAGGAGATCCTTGTGCGTATATAAGAGTTAAGCGATTCCCTTAGTTGTACTAATTTAGTTATCAATTAGCTATTCATTAAATAGACAACTAGCTATATATATATATATACAAATATATATTTACACAGACACACACATACAATATTAACTATAATTAGTAACTATACTGTTATAATTTCTTTGTGATGCATTGGTCGCATCTAAAACAAGAACCTCGTCTAAGTTGCAAAAGTTTTTACCTAATTACGTTTTAATTGAAACACTTTAAAATCAAACACCAACACACAACACACCCACACACACTTATGTATGCACACATATGTATATAGAAATATATATACATGCATGTATGGGTGTATAACATATGCATTAAGATATATCGCCTAAATGTAAACTGTGTATACATAATAAAAAGAAAGAATAAGAAAACAAACAGAAAATAAATACTAAGCAAACAAACAAACAAACAAAACAAAAACTACAACTAAATTTAGAGTTAAACGTGAAAAATTCAAACAAAAATAACAATTATTTTAATAATAATTTTAATTTTAATGTAATACGTAAATTAGCTAACAGCACTCTGGCGTCTCGATCATGTTTGTTGTGGGCGTGGTCGTGGGCGTTTGTCCAACACAAAAACAACAATTTGCAAAGCTTGTAAATAAAAGAGAAATACAGAAAATGGAATGGAATGGAATAATAATAACATGCAACTAGAACTTAAGTAAATGCAAAACAGGTCTAAAGCAGAATTAAATAAAAAGTATGATGAAATTATTGAAAGTGTTGGCAATGGTGCCTGGCACAGTAACTAAAGAATACTAGTATCTATAACTGATATAAATACAACAGAGCAACATAAAAGTAGATTACAAATAAAAAGTAACATAACAGAAAGAAATAATATTAACAAGAAGGAATATATGAGTACATAAATATAGCTATAAGTAATATATTAGTTGTATAACAAATTTATAGACACACACACACAATTTAATGCAAAATGAAAAAAAAAAAAATTAATAATAATTAGTACATAGACACACACCCACACAAACTTACCTTCGCTGTTGCAGATTCCATCAATCAATGCACGCTTTTTGTGGCAAAATCAAACAAACAAATTTATTATCAAACTGTAAAAATATATACAAAAACAAAAAACGAAAATAATAAAATCAGAAACACAGCAAACAAACATATACCTTACAAAATAAAAAAGTAAAAAAAAAAAAAAAAAAAAAAAACTAGGAATGCGTTGAATGAGAATGCAACAAGTAAATCGATAACATAATCCAATAAATAGATGAACCTAATCTTAAGCATATATTTTAATATGTAAGCCTTAAAGAAAATACGACTATGAATAATAAAAAACAAAAAAGAATGTGTAACTGTAATTGTTAACTAAAATGGTTTTTGTTTACTAAAAATACAAGCTGATGAAAGGACAGGTGCAAACCTATGAAGCTCAGATATGTATTTGGAATGCTTTAGGTATTTTGAGAGCCTTGAGGTGTGTGAAATTAAGGCGCTAATTAAGGTTTTTAAGTACATTAAATATTATGGCTACAGACAGATAAGGCTTGTTGAACGGGCTAATCAATATAAAAGTTAAATTTCCAGAGGGAGAAGTTTTGATTATTTAACCTAAGGAATTTTTATGTCGGTTCGCTTTCATGGATATAATTTGATTCAGTGTAATGTTTGACGTGTAATGCGTTATAGATTGCATGGACCCTGAATTGAGATTTGTAATACATATGTGCTCCACTTTGCGCATTGCAACTCGAATTTTATTCAGTACTGTTAAATTTATATTTCTGAGAAAAACCCTTGGATAAAAATGTTAGGGGAAAATGCGGTAGCAGTGTAAGAGATATATCAATATATCAGATTACTAATTTCGCCTCACAAGTCGCCTATAAACTATCAACCTATAATCATATATATTTATAAACAATATAATCCCCGCATAAATTTAGTTATCATTGAGACTTCTACTTGAATTCTTATCAGAAGCTAAACTGGTTGTTGTTCACTGATTTGATTCAAACCTTGTATTTATTTTGTATGTTTAGTCATTTCATGTTTCGGCAATAACTGGATTCTCTTGCTATAAACAAACTGCAGAATTATCTTCTCTTCTTCCGCTTCAGATATTGTCCATTTTCGTATCGGACATAATTGCAAAGAACAAAATGCGATTAGACAGATAAGTGCTATCCGATAAAAAAATAACTGAATTCAGGGTCGCACTTTCTACCATATAAATTATTGCCAAAAGTGTTGGCCAAATTCTTTTGCTCACGAATGTTTTCATAATTTATTTATAGATCCGCTGATTAAACAGACACAAACAAGCGAACTGAATAATTGTGACTCAATGGGACTGTGTTGTGTGTCAGTCAACGCATAGCACTTGATCAGTGTACTATATGCTACTTAAAGTGCCAAAAGGGGAAGCTATATCAAATATTTTAATTCCTAGGTAAACTAATAACTAAACAGGTTTCTCGTACTCTTGTCGTATATAATATGTATACATATATAATTGTATATGTATAACATTCTCAGGAATTTTAGACTAATACACTTCTAGTTAGATAAGATACATGCAGGTTTATATATATAAATGAAGTAGTTTAGTGTCTTCTACAGGTAAACTAAAATGTTTAGTATGCACACCCAGTAAATGGATATGAACGGGGTATACAACAGCGGTATATATAACAATGATTAAAAATTATTATAAAATTGTATATGGATACTTCTGATATACACTCAAAATTGATATCTAAATGATAAGATAATTATGTATGTTGTGGCTGTTCCAAAGGTTGGTTCTAACACACCCAAGATTTTTGGATATTGATACTACCTATTTTTAATGAGAAGGAAAAACAGACGATTTGCTTTCAATGCTCATATGGAATAATGATTTAGCGTTCTTATTGTATTTGTATCACAATTTTCAAAGCTAATATGTTTGTTTTGCCTTTTACAGGGTATTTCCACAACGAATTCGTGCCTTCAAGCTAACTCAAGACTTAATATGAAAAATAATTAGCGTTGTTTTTACATGAAGTCACGAAGCTACTGGCCGAAAAGAAAAGGTTTTGGCCATATGGTCACTATCTGTACAATTAAGGCACGTAGCAAACATTTAACATTTAGCATTCATGGCGCTCAATATCCGACAGAAGTCGTCACAGCTTGTTCATAATTTAAATAGTTTCATTTTGCTTGAAATGATTTAGTGCTATAATATAAAAACGGAGCGTGATTACATCAGTGAATCAGCAACCTTTATACGTCTTGACTCCATATATGTATATACATATATATGTACATACATACATACATATGTATGTATTATGCATGCAAGTGCATTGTCTGACAAGAAGTTAAAGCCCAAAACAATTTTGGCATGCGCCCATATAAGGGTTGGACATGGACACATCTGTACCTTAATATAGGCTTTTTATTTTTATTTTTTCACTTGTTTATTCTCTTAGGCATTAAATTAAAATTAATTGTGCTTAAACAAGTGGCGTATAAATTTTCGTTTCTTGCTCGCCTTCAATGTGTTTTCATTCCATTTCAATTTCAATTCCAAGGAAAAATCCATGACATGCAAAGATGTCATCATCTTGGCGATGGCGCCTGTAGCTTAAATCCAATTGGAATATTCTAAATTGGCATAGTGCATAACATTCCAGTTACAGTTCCAATTGCTGCATGCCATGTACCCCATACAGTCAGTCAATTTTGGCGAATTCGGGTCGCAGCGAATTCAGCGTGCTTTGAATTTCAAATGATTTTATTTTTTGTTTTGGTTATATTTTTGTTTTTTGTACCCACAGTGCGACTTTTGTTTGCCACTTAATTGTTGTTTTTATATTTGCTCTTTTTAATATCTATTTTGGTTTCAGTGTGTGAGTATGTGTGCGTGTGTGTGTCTCGGCAAACAAGTTTTGATTGCTCCGCAAGCTTTGCATGAACATGAGTCTTGGCAGGTGACGTCATGAGCTAACAGTCGCTGCAAAATTAAGTAACAATTGAATTTAAGTTTTCTCGTTAAGATTTGACTTTTGTCTACGCTGCAGTTTGGAGGTCGAATTAGTTAAACTTCAACCTGGTCTCTCTCTCTCTCTCTCTGCTAGAGTAATATAGAAATATGGTATATAAACATCTGTGCATCTGTATGTATTAGTCTAGAAGATCTTTTTATGGGCACAACAAGTTGTAGCATAATTATGAGTTACACCCACCTAAGGCCGTTATAAATCAATTGAGCAATAAAATTCAGCATCAATTCTAGCGAATGCATATTATACGTAGAAATATTGTCAGTCTGCTGTGCTGTTATTGAGCTCAATCTCAATTTATAGGCACGGATGCGCCCACGTATCTACAAAGCCAGACATTTAAAGTAAATGCAAAGCTGACTAATCAACAGCTCAATACATATGTATATCCAATATATATATATAAATATATACCTATACATATTTAGTTATATACATATTTTTTTAATTGTGCATCCGTCTGACAAACACGACAACTGTTAACCCGGCCAATTTTGGTCTGTGCGCTAATTTTGTTTTGGCCCGTTCTGGAAAACAGTTGAAGCCCTCATAGAGATGCCCAGCCCGAGCCGGCGTGCGAACGAGATGGCCATAACCATCCATAGACGTGTTAGCTGTAATAAAAAACTAAAAAGAGTAAAAATATCAAGTGAGAAACGCCGCTGGCGCTCATCAAGCATCAAGCAGCTGTTTGTGTTGGTTTGCTTTGCGGCCACTTTCGAATTGAGCACATTCTGTTGATTTCGTATTGTTTTTATTGGCTTATTGAACTCATTGCGTGGCAGTAAATAAAGAAGGTGCCGTCTCAGCTTTGGATAGCCTACGCATTTTTACTCTCTAACCGCAGAGACACACTCACATACAGACGCACACACTCACGCATCTGTCTGTCTGTTCGCATACATACATAGCTGGAATGGCCAACCTACGCTCCGATCTGGCCTGGCTTTTTGCGAAGGCGAAGCGTAGCGCCGTTTGCCTCTCGCTCGCTCGCACGCAGGCGTGCGAAGCTTCCAACGCGATGGAGCAAAGCCCACAAACCGCTGCTGCTGCGCTGCCGCTTTTTTGGCCGGGCAGAGCACAGCAGATACGGCCGAAAGCGGTTCCAGGCAACCGCAGCGGCGATCAGTACGTTTTGAGTTGTGCTTCGCGACGGTTGTTGATCTATCTCAAGTGCTCCCACGAATACGAAATATGCACACGAATCTGCCCAATTGAGCATCAAGCGAATAAAACGTCTCTATCTCTACAATTTCTAAGTGTTTCTGTTTGATTGTGTCTCTCTCTCTCTCTGTGTGTGTGTGCGTGTGTGTGTGTGTCTGTTAAGCTTTTACGCTCCCGCTACGCCGCTTGCGTTCACACTTTCAACTGTCGCCCGTTACGTTGCGCCCTCTCTTTGTATCTTTGTGCTTGTGTGTGTGTGTGTGTATGTGTGTGCGTGCGCCAGTGCCACCGTTTGTCATTTTTTTCAACTTGAACTGTGGCTCTCGCATACATACATACCTCTGTCTGTCTGTGTGTGTGTGTGTGTGTTTGTCGTGAATAATAAATACATTATTTAAAAATAAGTATTTCGACATTCCCGGTGGAAATTAAGTGACAACACACATACACATTAATACTAATTAGGTACATACCACTTATACTTTTAGTAGTGCCAAACGAAGCGATAATTGTGATCAATAAAAACAACGAAATACAAACGAACAGCAATCTAATATACTAAGTTAAGCCACCAAATAAGTAAGGCAAGTGCAAGAGTACAAGGTGCAACACAATATTCATTCCACATAGTCAGTGATTACCTCATCTGTGTGTAAATCAAGCCAACAGAATGGTATCAAAAAGTAATAAAAAGAAACAAGTGTCGCAGTCAACGTCGCAGCCGCCAGCCACATCAAGCACAACCACATCGGCCTCGGCCTCGGCGACCAAATTAACCAAAAAACTGGGACCCAATGCGACGGCAACGCTAACGACCAACACCAGCTCGTCGTCAATGGAGCATGAATCTGTCTCGTATGGGGTGACGCCGCCTGACGCCACCGGCCGCAGCTCCGGCAGCAACACCTTGCTGAAGGAAGGTGAAAGTCTGCTGGCAGCTGGTGGCTCCAGCTACAGTTCCAGCTCGTACACAGCGAAGAAAACTCAATTGCAATCTCAGTCACAGACACAGCAATCGGAGCTGTTTAGCAGCAGCAGCAGTTCCAAAATCTTTAAGGACTTCTCGGACGAAAAGATCATTGCGTCAATTGATCTGCTGGAGAGCGAGAAGAAGGAACCGGTATTCTCGGTACCCATTGAGGTGGTGGAAATCACAGCTCCTGCTGGCCTCATTAGCTCTGCCAGCAGTGGCAGCATATCCAAAATGTATGCGTCCACATCAAAAGTGTCCAGTAGCCGACAGCAGGCGAGCAGCTCCAGTTACTTTGAGTCTTCCACAACCAGTTCCAGCCAGCAGCAGCAGCAGCAGCAGCAACGGATCGATGCTAGTGAAACGCTCATTGCAAGCGAGAGAGCGGCTACCGGTATGACATCATCCACATTGTCGAACAGCAAATTCGTTGATGTGGCCGAACAGGTTGTCAGCGATAGCAGCAACACGAACACGATCACCAATACAAACATCAACATCAACACCAACACCAACGCCAACACCAACACTAACACCAGCACCAGCACCACTACGAACATCAACACCAACACTAGCGAATCTCAGAGCGTGCCAAAGTCGGTGCTTGGAACAGCTGCTGTGGGTGTCTCTGCTGATTCGTCATCAACAACAACAACAACGGCGAAATCGATGACGTCGCAACGTAAACCGGTTCCGACCACAACAAACATTGCGACGTCATCGACGTTGAATGAGCTGGCTAGCAGCAGCAGTAGCACCAAGAACAGCAACAACAACACCTCCTCAATATCAACAACAACAGCTGTTAACTTTGATGTGGAGAAGGCAACGTCATCGAAGACCAAACTGAGCAGCAGTAAGGAGGTCAATAGACGTGAAAGCACAACAAATCAGAGCAGCACAAAACAATCAACGGCCTCGTCCAAGAAAGAAGTGTACGATGTGAAGACAAAGACCTGGACAGAGTACAGCGAGGGCAGCCCACCACATGGCAGCAACAAGAAGGTGCCCACTTTTGAGCGATACGTGAGCAAAGACACCGATGGCACCACCAAAATCACATATAAGAAGAAGATATACGACAGGCGCAACAATCGGTGGCGCGTGGTGGACGAGCGCACAGTGGATAGCAGCAATGATGTCGGCTACCCAGAAATAGTTGATGATGTCATCAATACAACGACCACAACATACACCACCAAGGTGTACGACACCAAGCTGGGCAAGTGGACAGTCGTGGACGAGAAATCGTATACGGACTCGAAAGCTTTTGTGCCGAATGATATAGCTCGTGAAATCGAAAAAGATAACACCGATGTTGCAAACATAACGACAACAACAGAGGTGACAAAGGTAAGCGCCACCACATATGTATATATATGTATATATATATGTACATACATATCTAGTATGTATTTTCTAGCTAGAGTGACTTGGGGTGTTTCTTTTGGCTTTTTCTAGTGGTGTTTTCTATTCGTTCTATTAATTATGCTTCATTATATTTCAGATATTCGATGCTAGCATTAACGACTGGCGCGTCCTCGATGAGAAGGTGCACACGGATGTCATCGAGAAAATTGTGGAGGCTCCCAAGAAAACAATCTATGTGGATGAGTTTGTGGAAATTGAGAAGAATACATCCATATCGGAGAACAATGAAAATATCACATTGAATCTGAACGAGACATCGAAACACAAAAATATTACGGAGAATATTTATGATGAAATCGATTATGTGCGCACCGACAAGAAACGCCTAAACGATTCAAGAACTGTGAGTACATTTAACTCTAATTCCCAACCCTAATAATTAATAAAATATTAAATTTAGCGTGGAGTCGACAAAGACAGAACAACAACACACAGTGAGAAATGTATCTGTGAAATATGCACTTGCGGGTAAGATAGCTTTATTATCTGTCTAGAAAATTATACTCATATTTACTGCACTTTCAGCCGTCATCATTGCTCTACAAGCACCACAAAGTCCACAGAAATTGTTGAAATAGATGGTAAGTTCTTTAAAATTGGATGTAGAACAAGTTTGACGAATATTCCTTTTTTCCTTTTTATAGATAATGTTGACGAAACTTATACAAGGATACGTACTAACACTTGGTCCAAGAAAGATGATAACATTCCTAAGAAACCTGAAGACATATTTGTAGATTATATTGTGATAAAGAAACCCGAAGACAATCTTAAGACCGAAGGAGAGTTTATAATTCCAGAAAAAGAGCGCTACAAGCCAGGCGAAAGACGTGAAAAAATTATACACACTGATAATCTGCGTATGGACGGAGAAATGACATTTGTCGAAAAAGAGGAATATCAATATGTCGTTCGCCCTGGATACGTTAAACCTGCAGATAATCTGAAGCCTGAAGGAGAATTCTTCAGTCCTCAGAAACCTAAATATCAGCCGGGCGATCGCCCAACTCAAGTACGACACGCAGACAATTTAAAGCCGGAAGGCGACTTTTATGCCCCAGAAAAAATTGAATTTCGCCCAGCTGAGCGTCCATCGCAAGTCAGGCCGGAAGATAACTTGAGACCTGAAGGCGAATTTTATACTCCAGATAAGCCTGGTTACAAGCCCGCGGAGCGCCCTACTCAAAAGAAACCTGTTGACAATCTCAAGCCCGAAGGTGAATTTGTCGCACCCGAAAAACCAGCGTACCGACCAGCAGATAAAACAGAACGAATCATCAGGCACGATAATCTGCGAACTGAAGGTGAAATGACTTTTGTGGAAAAGGAGGAATATCAATATGTGGTCCGCCCTGAACAGGTGAAGCCAACGGATAATCTAAAGCCCGAAGGCGAATTTTATAGTCCTGAAAAGCCAAAGTATCGTCCAGGTGAACGTCCATCTCAAGTGCGACCGGAGGATAACTTGAAACCTGAGGGCCAGTTCTACACTCCAGATAAACCAGGATATAGACCTGCCGATCGTCCGGTACAAAAGATTCCACAAGACAATTTGCGGCCAGAAGGTGATTTTTACACTCCTGAAAGGCCAAAATATCAGCCAGGTGAACGGCCTTCTCAAGTACGACCAGGAGATAATTTAAAGCCAGAGGGGGATTTCTATACTCCAGATAAACCTGGATACAGACCGGCTGAGCGTCCAGAACAAGTAAAGCCAACGGATAATCTTAAGCCTGAAGGCGAGTTCTACAGCCCAGAGAAGCCGAAGTATCGTCCTGGTGAGCGTCCATCTCAAGTCAGACCAGAAGATAACTTAAGACCAGAGGGTGAATTCTATACTCCAGATAAGCCTGGATATAGACCAGCAGAGCGTCCAGTCCAAAAGAAACCAGTGGATAATCTGAAGCCCGAAGGCGAATTCGTCGCACCTGAGAAACAAGTTTACCGACCTGCTGAAAAGACGGAAAGAATCATCAGAGAGGATAATTTGCGTACAGAAGGCGAAATGACATTTGTGGAAAGAGAGGAATATCAATATGTTGTTCGTCCCGAGCAGGTGAAACCAACGGATAATCTTAAGCCCGAAGGCGAGTTCTATAGTCCTGAAAAACCGAAGTATCGCCCAGCAGAGCGTCCATCTCAAGTTCGACCAGAGGACAACTTGAAGCCAGAGGGTGATTTCTATACTCCAGATAAACCTGGATACAGACCTGCTGAGCGTCCAGAACAAGTAAAGCCAACAGATAATCTTAAGCCTGAAGGCGAGTTCTACAGCCCAGAGAAGCCGAAGTACCGTCCTGGTGAGCGTCCTTCCCAAGTCAGACCAGAGGACAACTTGAAGCCAGAGGGTGATTTCTATACTCCAGATAAACCTGGGTATAGACCGGCTGAGCGTCCAGAACAAGTAAAGCCAACGGATAATCTTAGGCCTGAAGGCGAATTTTATAGTCCTGAAAAGCCGAAGTACCGTCCTGGTGAGCGTCCTTCCCAAGTCAGACCAGAAGATAACTTAAGACCAGAGGGTGATTTCTATACTCCAGATAAGCCTGGATATAGACCAGCAGAGCGTCCAGTCCAAAAGAAACCAGTGGATAATCTGAAGCCCGAAGGCGAATTCGTCGCACCTGAGAAACAAGTTTACCGACCTGCTGAAAAGACGGAAAGAATCATCAGAGAGGATAATTTGCGTACAGAAGGCGAAATGACATTTGTGGAAAGAGAGGAATATCAATATGTTGTTCGTCCCGAGCAGGTGAAACCAACGGATAATCTTAAGCCCGAAGGCGAGTTCTATAGTCCTGAAAAACCGAAGTATCGCCCAGCAGAGCGTCCATCTCAAGTTCGACCAGAGGACAACTTGAAGCCAGAGGGTGATTTCTATACTCCAGATAAACCTGGATACAGACCTGCTGAGCGTCCAGAACAAGTAAAGCCAACAGATAATCTTAAGCCTGAAGGCGAGTTCTACAGCCCAGAGAAGCCGAAGTACCGTCCTGGTGAGCGTCCATCTCAAGTCAGACCAGAGGACAACTTGAAACCAGAGGGTGAATTCTATACTCCAGATAAACCTGGGTATAGACCGGCAGAGCGTCCAGTCCAAAAGAAACCAGTGGATAATCTGAAGCCCGAAGGCGAATTCGTAGCACCTGAGAAACAAGTTTTCCGACCTGCTGAAAAGACCGAAAGAATCATCAGAGAGGATAATTTGCGTACTGAAGGCGAAATGACATTTGTGGAAAGAGAGGAATATCAATATGTTGTTCGTCCTGAGCAGGTGAAACCAACGGATAATCTTAAGCCCGAAGGCGAGTTTTATAGTCCTGAAAAACCGAAGTATCGCCCAGCAGAGCGTCCATCTCAAGTTCGACCAGAGGACAACTTGAAGCCAGAGGGTGATTTCTATACTCCAGATAAACCTGGATACAGACCTGCTGAACGTCCAGAACAAGTAAAACCAACAGATAATCTTAAGCCTGAAGGCGAGTTCTATAGTCCTGAAAAACCGAAGTACCGTCCTGGTGAGCGTCCATCTCAAGTCAGACCAGAGGACAACTTGAAACCAGAGGGTGAATTCTATACTCCAGATAAACCTGGGTATAGACCGGCTGAGCGTCCAGAACAAGTAAAGCCAACGGATAATCTTAAGCCTGAAGGCGAATTTTATAGTCCTGAAAAGCCGAAGTACCGTCCTGGTGAGCGTCCTTCCCAAGTCAGACCAGAAGATAACTTAAGACCAGAGGGTGAATTCTATACTCCAGATAAGCCTGGATATAGACCAGCAGAGCGTCCAGTCCAAAAGAAACCAGTGGATAATCTGAAGCCCGAAGGCGAATTCGTAGCACCTGAGAAACAAGTTTTCCGACCTGCTGAAAAGACCGAAAGAATCATCAGAGAGGATAATTTGCGTACTGAAGGCGAAATGACATTTGTGGAAAGAGAGGAATATCAATATGTTGTTCGTCCTGAGCAGGTGAAACCAACGGATAATCTTAAGCCCGAAGGCGAGTTCTATAGTCCTGAAAAACCGAAGTATCGCCCAGCAGAGCGTCCATCTCAAGTTCGACCAGAGGACAACTTGAAGCCAGAGGGTGATTTCTATACTCCAGATAAACCCGGATACAGACCGGCTGAGCGTCCAGAACAAGTAAAACCAACGGATAATCTTAAGCCTGAAGGCGAGTTCTACAGCCCAGAGAAGCCGAAGTACCGTCCTGGTGAGCGTCCATCTCAAGTCAGACCAGAGGACAACTTGAAGCCAGAGGGTGAATTCTATACTCCAGAAAAGCCTGGATATAGACCAGCAGAGCGTCCAGTCCAAAAGAAACCAGTTGATAATCTGAAGCCCGAAGGCGAATTCGTAGCACCTGAAAAACAAGTTTTCCGACCTGCTGAAAAGACCGAAAGAATCATCAGAGAGGATAATTTGCGTACTGAAGGAGAAATGACATTTGTGGAAAGAGAGGAATATCAATATGTTGTTCGTCCTGAGCAGGTGAAACCAACGGATAATCTTAAGCCCGAAGGCGAGTTCTATAGTCCTGAAAAACCGAAGTATCGCCCAGCAGAGCGTCCATCTCAAGTTCGACCAGAGGACAACTTGAAGCCAGAGGGTGATTTCTATACTCCAGATAAACCCGGATACAGACCGGCTGAGCGTCCAGAACAAGTAAAACCAACGGATAATCTTAAGCCTGAAGGCGAGTTCTACAGCCCAGAGAAGCCGAAGTACCGTCCTGGTGAGCGTCCATCTCAAGTCAGACCAGAGGACAACTTGAAGCCAGAGGGTGAATTCTATACTCCAGAAAAGCCTGGATATAGACCAGCAGAGCGTCCAGTCCAAAAGAAACCAGTTGATAATCTGAAGCCCGAAGGCGAATTCGTAGCACCTGAAAAACAAGTTTTCCGACCTGCTGAAAAGACCGAAAGAATCATCAGAGAGGATAATTTGCGTACTGAAGGAGAAATGACATTTGTGGAAAGAGAGGAATATCAATATGTTGTTCGTCCTGAGCAGGTGAAACCAACGGATAATCTTAAGCCCGAAGGCGAGTTCTATAGTCCTGAAAAACCGAAGTATCGCCCAGCAGAGCGTCCATCTCAAGTTCGCCCAGAGGATAACTTAAAGCCAGAGGGTGATTTCTATACTCCAGAAAAACCTGGATACAGACCGGCTGAGCGTCCAGAGCAAGTAAAGCCAACGGATAATCTAAAGCCTGAAGGCGAATTTTATAGTCCTGAAAAGCCGAAGTACCGTCCTGGTGAGCGTCCTTCCCAAGTCAGACCAGAGGATAACTTAAGACCAGAGGGTGAATTCTATACTCCAGATAAACCCGGATACAGACCGGCTGAGCGTCCAGAACAAGTAAAGCCAACGGATAATCTTAAGCCTGAAGGCGAGTTCTATAGTCCTGAAAAACCGAAGTACCGTCCTGGTGAGCGTCCTTCCCAAGTCAGACCAGAAGATAACTTAAGACCAGAGGGTGATTTCTATACTCCAGAAAAGCCTGGATATAGACCAGCAGAGCGTCCAGTCCAAAAGAAACCAGTGGATAATCTGAAGCCCGAAGGCGAATTCGTCGCACCTGAGAAACAAGTTTACCGACCTGCTGAAAAGACGGAAAGAATCATCAGAGAGGATAATTTGCGTACAGAAGGCGAAATGACATTTGTGGAAAGAGAGGAATATCAATATGTTGTTCGTCCTGAGCAGGTGAAACCAACGGATAATCTTAAGCCCGAAGGCGAGTTCTATAGTCCTGAAAAACCGAAGTATCGCCCAGCAGAGCGTCCATCTCAAGTTCGACCAGAGGACAACTTGAAGCCAGAGGGTGATTTCTATACTCCAGATAAACCTGGATACAGACCTGCTGAGCGTCCAGAACAAGTAAAGCCAACAGATAATCTTAAGCCTGAAGGCGAGTTCTACAGCCCAGAGAAGCCGAAGTACCGTCCTGGTGAGCGTCCATCTCAAGTCAGACCAGAGGACAACTTGAAACCAGAGGGTGAATTCTATACTCCAGATAAACCTGGGTATAGACCGGCTGAGCGTCCAGAACAAGTAAAGCCAACGGATAATCTTAAGCCTGAAGGCGAATTTTATAGTCCTGAAAAGCCGAAGTACCGTCCTGGTGAGCGTCCTTCCCAAGTCAGACCAGAAGATAACTTAAGACCAGAGGGTGAATTCTATACTCCAGATAAGCCTGAGTATAGACCAGCAGAGCGTCCAGTCCAAAAGAAACCAGTGGATAATCTGAAGCCCGAAGGCGAATTCGTAGCACCTGAGAAACAAGTTTTCCGACCTGCTGAAAAGACCGAAAGAATCATCAGAGAGGATAATTTGCGTACTGAAGGCGAAATGACATTTGTGGAAAGAGAGGAATATCAATATGTTGTTCGTCCTGAGCAGGTGAAACCAACGGATAATCTTAAGCCCGAAGGCGAGTTCTATAGTCCTGAAAAACCGAAGTATCGCCCAGCAGAGCGTCCATCTCAAGTTCGACCAGAGGACAACTTGAAGCCAGAGGGTGATTTCTATACTCCAGATAAACCCGGATACAGACCGGCTGAGCGTCCAGAACAAGTAAAACCAACGGATAATCTTAAGCCTGAAGGCGAATTCTACAGCCCAGAGAAGCCGAAGTACCGTCCTGGTGAGCGTCCATCTCAGTTCAGACCAGAGGACAACTTGAAGCCAGAGGGTGAATTCTATACTCCAGAAAAGCCTGGATATAGACCAGCAGAGCGTCCAGTCCAAAAGAAACCAGTTGATAATCTGAAGCCCGAAGGCGAATTCGTAGCACCTGAAAAACAAGTTTTCCGACCTGCTGAAAAGACCGAAAGAATCATCAGAGAGGATAATTTGCGTACTGAAGGAGAAATGACATTTGTGGAAAGAGAGGAATATCAATATGTTGTTCGTCCTGAGCAGGTGAAACCAACGGATAATCTTAAGCCCGAAGGCGAGTTCTATAGTCCTGAAAAACCGAAGTATCGCCCAGCAGAGCGTCCATCTCAAGTTCGCCCAGAGGACAACTTGAAGCCAGAGGGTGATTTCTATACTCCAGATAAACCCGGATACAGACCGGCAGAGCGTCCAGAACAAGTAAAACCAACGGATAATCTAAAGCCTGAAGGCGAATTTTATAGTCCTGAAAAGCCGAAGTACCGTCCTGGTGAGCGTCCTTCCCAAGTCAGACCAGAAGATAACTTAAGACCAGAGGGTGAATTCTATACTCCAGATAAACCTGAGTATAGACCAGCAGAGCGTCCAGTCCAAAAGAAACCAGTGGATAATCTGAAGCCCGAAGGCGAATTCGTAGCACCTGAGAAACAAGTTTTCCGACCTGCTGAAAAGACCGAAAGAATCATCAGAGAGGATAATTTGCGTACTGAAGGCGAAATGACATTTGTGGAAAGAGAGGAATATCAATATGTTGTTCGTCCAGAGCAGGTGAAACCAACGGATAATCTTAAGCCCGAAGGCGAGTTCTATAGTCCTGAAAAACCGAAGTATCGCCCAGCCGAGCGTCCATCTCAAGTTCGACCAGAGGACAACTTGAAGCCAGAGGGTGATTTCTATACTCCAGATAAACCCGGATACAGACCTGCTGAACGTCCAGAACAAGTAAAGCCAACAGACAATCTTAAGCCCGAAGGCGAGTTCTACAGCCCAGAGAAGCCGAAGTACCGTCCTGGTGAGCGTCCATCTCAAGTCAGACCAGAGGACAACTTGAAACCAGAGGGTGATTTCTACACTCCAGATAAACCCGGATACAGACCGGCTGAGCGTCCAGAACAAGTAAAACCAACGGATAATCTTAAGCCTGAAGGCGAGTTCTACAGCCCAGAGAAGCCGAAGTACCGTCCTGGTGAGCGTCCATCTCAAGTTCGACCAGAGGACAACTTGAAGCCAGAGGGTGATTTCTACACCCCAGAAAAGCCTGGATATAGACCAGCAGAGCGTCCAGTCCAAAAGAAACCAGTGGATAATCTGAAGCCAGAAGGTGAATTCGTAGCACCTGAGAAACAAGTTTTCCGACCTGCTGAAAAGACCGAAAGAATCATCAGAGAGGATAATTTGCGTACTGAAGGCGAAATGACATTTGTGGAAAGAGAGGAATATCAATATGTTGTTCGTCCAGAGCAGGTGAAACCAACGGATAATCTTAAGCCCGAAGGCGAGTTCTATAGTCCTGAAAAACCGAAGTATCGCCCAGCCGAGCGTCCATCTCAAGTTCGACCAGAGGACAACTTGAAGCCAGAGGGTGATTTCTATACTCCAGATAAACCCGGATACAGACCTGCTGAACGTCCAGAACAAGTAAAGCCAACAGATAATCTTAAGCCCGAAGGCGAGTTCTACAGCCCAGAGAAGCCGAAGTACCGTCCTGGTGAGCGTCCATCTCAAGTCAGACCAGAGGACAACTTGAAGCCAGAGGGTGATTTCTACACTCCAGATAAGCCCGGATACAGACCGGCTGAGCGTCCAGAACAAGTAAAGCCAACGGATAATCTTAAGCCTGAAGGAGAGTTCTACAGCCCAGAGAAGCCGAAGTATCGTCCTGGTGAGCGTCCATCTCAAGTCAGACCAGAGGACAACTTGAAGCCAGAGGGTGATTTCTACACTCCAGAAAAGTCTGGATATAGACCAGCAGAGCGTCCAGTCCAAAAGAAACCAGTGGATAATCTGAAGCCCGAAGGCGAATTCGTCGCGCCTGAGAAACATGTTTACCGGCCAGCAGAGAAGACCGAAAGAGTCATAAGAAAGGATAATTTGCGTACTGAAGGAGAAATGACATTTGTGGAAAGAGAGGAATATCAATATGTTGTTCGTCCTGAACAGGTGAAGCCAACGGATAATCTCAAGCCTGAAGGAGATTTCTATAGCCCTGAAAAGCCTAAGTATCGCCCAGCAGAGCGTCCATCTCAAGTTCGACCAGAGGATAACTTAAAACCAGAAGGTGATTTCTATACTCCAGAAAAACCGAAGTTTATGCCCGTTGAGAGACCTAAACAGAAGAAACCACAGGATAATCTGAAGCCTCTTGATGGTATTATGTATACACCAGAAAAAATTAAATATCAGCCTGCTGATCGACCTGAGCCTAAGAAATATGTTGATAACTTAAAGCCTGAAGGTCAAATGTATATTCCAGAAAAAGACACATTTAAGCCAGCTGAAAAAGTGAAGACAATTATAAGAAAAGACAACCTAAAAACCGAGGGTTCTATGATATTTACTAAAAAAGAGGAGTATCATCACGTCAGAAGACCCGAACAGGTGAAACCAACGGATAACTTAAAACCGGAAGGAGAATTCTATACCCCGGAAAAATCAACATTCAAGCCAGCAGAACGACCAGTCCAAAAGAAACCCAAGGATAACTTGAAAACAGAAGGTGAATTCTATAAGCGAACAGATAGAACTGAAACTGACAGCACAACGGTGCTAGAGAGTGTTAAAAGAGAACCTGCCAAGCGGCCGGTGGATAATCTGAAGCTAGAAGGACCTATGACTGTGACTAGAAAAGATGATTTTAAAACCACAACCAATAAAACAAATGTTGACCGAGTGCAGCGTACACAGAAATACAGGCACAACAGCTCGACCATCACCTTAGGTAATGATACTTCCATTCTGAAGACAACCAACCAGATGAACTTTGTGTCCGGCAAGGATGCAGTGAAGCAAGTGGATGTCAACAGCCAAAAGCCAGTCGATGGTCTAATTATTGTTTCTACGAAGAAGGTCACAACGGTTATCGGGGGCCGTGGGAAAAAGGAGCCGGAAACTGAGTATGTGAAGCGACCAGCTAAGATAAATGTTATTGAGAATGTGTCCAAAAACACGACTACTACAAATATTGAGAACACACAGAACGTACACAAGGAAACAACATCGATGCAACGAAATCTCAATGTATTAGAAAAAACAGCTGTAAAAACTGAGCAAATACGTGGAACAACGGATGATACAAGAGCTCTTCAAACTTCAACAACGACAAGGAGAACTAACCAGGATGACCGAGATGTGACTCAAACGGGAGGCTTAACGTCCAATACAGTCTCAGATAGGACAGTTACTAACAATGTCACCGAAACTGGAGGCTCAACATCTCGTATAGTCACAGGCAGGACAGTGACCAACAATGTGACAGAGACGGGAGGCTCCACAACCCGTATAGTTTCCGGCAAATTTGTAACTGGAGATACAACATCTACCGCAGCTACTGGCCGTACAACTATTAACAATGTGGCTGACACAGAAGGCTCGACAACTCGTATAGTCTCCGGTAAAGAAGTGACCAGGAACGTGGGAGATGCTGGAAGCTCCCACATCGTCTCGAGCAGCAAAACTAGTAAGAATGTAAACGAGACTAGAGGTTCAACCACTCGCATTGTCTCTGGTAAATTAGTGACAACGAACGTTGCTGAAACGCGAAGCACTCATAATGTGACTGAGACTGGAGGCACAACAACCCGTATAATAGGCGGCAAACTAGTCACAACGAAGGTCAACGAATCAGTAGGTTCCAATTCTCGCACAATCTCGGGAAGTCCAGCCTCAAATAATATCAACGGAGGATCTACATCTCGTGTGGTTGACAACAGTTCGGTGACTAACAATGTGAGTGGCAGCTCGTCGAAGCATTTCCATCACAGGAAGAGTGAGTTCTCCTCGGAAGCGGATGTTTCCAACTCAATCTTCCATCGAAAGAACGTGTCAACCGAGTCAAATCCACTCAGCAGCAGTCTGACCTCCAATGGCAAAATGCAGCGCAAGAGTATTCTGAATCTACACGAGCAATCGCCGAGCTGCAGCGCCCATTCACCTGATCGCCAGAGCTACAGTAGCATCCACCGCCAGAACAGGGAATCGGATTTGAGTACTAACTACTCCACGGATCGTCGCAGTTGCAGCATGCACAAGGAAAACAAGGAGCATCATGTGAAAACATCTACGTCTTCCTCGTCCATGTCACGTATTATATCTGGTGGCGATACAAATCGATCGAACCTGGAGAGATCGACTCTCACACGAACAAATGCATCGAGCGGAGTTGATTTTCCATCGCAATCGCAGTCGCAGACTCATGTTACGCGTCATCGCAACGGTGCTAACCAACATTTGTCCAGTGGCATCGACTTCGCCTCCTCCTCCTCCTCTTCAGCCTACAATGTCCATGGCCAGAGCGAACGTATTGTGACCACACGACGCAGTAATCAGTCATCGATTAGTCTAGGCAGCGACAAGTTCACTGGCTCGAGTCTCTATAAGAGCGAATATATAACTGCCCCAGCAACAACCTGTGCTGTTCATAAGATTAAACAAGGTGCATTCCAGCCTACCAGAAGTACGCACGATCATAAATTTTACAAAACCTCCAACTAACTGATAATTAACACACAAATTTATGCTCGTACGTTTCTTGTCTTGTCAAGTCTTGTCTTCATATCATATCACATAGTGCCTAAGATTCCATGACAATATTTTTTTATACAATATATCTACTTACCTGAAGAAAACAAAAAACATATTGAATTATAAGATTAACAACAAATAAAGCATATCATTTTTGAAAAATATTCTAAAGACATTTTCCTTACATTAAAAATCTCTTGGGAATGGGATATTTGTTCAACGTGAGATGATGGTTTTTTATTGAGAATTTTTAAAAGATGCTAGTGTCGTTTTTTTAAAGGCTATTATTGTATGTATAAGTACAGTAACTGTATAATTAATATCGTTTAAAAAAACGCGTTTCAACTATATGTATATATATACTATATGCTGGTATAAATAATCAATGAGTTCTATCTATTTTGGAACAATAGATTTACATACATTTCAATTTTGTATAATGGTTTATTGTGTTCGTTTTGGAAGTTTGTTATATTATTTCATTTTCCTCTATATACGCGTTCATACAATAATATAATACTCGTTACTTAAATTAGCTTAGGATTTTCTTTTTAAATATATATATTTATATAAATATATATATATATATATATTTTTTTTTTTTTTTTTTTTTGTATATTTATCATGTTTGGAAGACATTTTGTTCGCATTTTGGAAGACTTGCGTTTCATTTCTTATAGACTAAGTTTCTTGATATCCGTCATGGACTGCATTTGACAAATTTAGTTAGTTTGGAAGACATGCCATGAATGCAGCCCAGACGAATCCAACAAATGTATAACTGTGTATATACAGATATACATATATATACTTTGTTATTGGTAGTTTGATTAGAGCTTTCGTTAACTAAACTATAAATTTGTTCTCGTTTTCGTTCGTTTTGTAACAATTTTTTTAAAATGGAAGACCAATTTCGAATGCATTGATTAGAGCATTGCCCGAATCATAGATGCCTATAACACCAAAAAGCACGCCCAGCGCAATAATGACGTAGTCCTTCGCTATCTCCTTTTGGTCTAGCAAATGGCCCTTGATCTTGATGTGGAAGTAGCAGGGCCAAATAAAACTCAACATGGTGCCCGTGAAGCTGCCAATGAAGCCCATCAGTATCGAAAAGTGTGGTATAAATATGGCCATAAGTATGGTGGACACAATGACGCCCACTCGGAAGCCCAGGCCCCACACTTTCAGCTCACCATCCAGATTCCAGATGGTCGGAAACTTGGTCTTTGGCGGGCCACGGAAGAAGTTGCGCTCGAGCAGCTCGCAGGCAGCATAGTATGGCAATGGATAGCTGAGGATAGCCTTGATGACCAGAAAGAAGTTGACCATGCCCTTGAAGCCCTGCGAGTGCAGATTATTGGTTATCACCTGCTGCGTGTCATTCTGGAAGGTGAGAAAGCAGATGTAACCGAAGCCAGCCTTGAATATCGCAGCGGCTATATGGGACCAGTCCAGCATCCAGTTGAACTTGGAGCGATCTATCATGTTGCCCTCGAGCGTGGGCAAGAATATCTGTGAGGTGTACGAGAAGACAATGACGCCCAGTGAAATGGGAAAGTTCTCCATGTCAATGCTCCAGCGCACCTTTGACCAGCCCCAATCGCCAATCTGCAGCAGGCAATAGCCCAGGATGACGGCGTTTATCACAATATGTGACATGGTGCACCAGAAGGAGAGCGTTGACACCATTTTGAGGGACTTGAGGAAGCCCATGGGCAGCAGGAAAATGCCCACGAAGAGCATCCAGGAGCGCGAATCGAACGAGCCCTGAGGATACGTGCCAGCCAGCAGATCCCCACAGACGACCACATACAAGATGCAGGTCATCAGCAGCTCGATTAGCTGGGCAATGCTGACGGCTCGTGCGCCCAGCTTGGGACCGAAGCATACCTTGGCAATGGCCACATAGCTATCCCGTACGCGCACCAGCTGACCCGTGCTGGGATCCGGCTCGTAGAGGCACTGCACGAGCACCTTGCCCGTGTAGCAACAGATGTGCGCAATGCCCACCATAGCGATGATGGCCCAGTAGCCGCCGTGGAGCACTGCGAATGGCAGCGATACGATGAACATGCCCTGGATGGCGTTTGTCACATTCCAGGCCGCTTGGAACTCGTCGATCTTGGAGCCGCCGCCACCCTCACCCTCGCACACAAACGAGCTGCCCTCCGAGGCGATGCTGCCCTGCCTGCAAAAAGGATTTGAGTCTGAGGAATTGCATCATAGTGAAATTAATCTCTGCTACGCACCTGAATCCATCTGTCTGCTGATACCTGCCATCGTAATCGTTGCCCACAAAGGATGTGCTCTGGTATTCGTTTTTGTAGTCCCCTTCGCCATCCTCATTTGACCAGCTGCCGGCATTGCGAAAGGGATTCGAGCTCATCTCTGTGGGCTGATCGCTGCCATCGCCATTGGCATCACCTGGCGCAAACATGCCGTGACCTTGACCCTGCTGCTGCTGCTGTTGCAGATGTGGATGGCTGCCGCTCGAGCCGGGTGGCTGCTGGTAATCCTTGCGCTCTGGAATTTGCTGTCTGGCCGTTTGGATGGCCACATTGAGTATATTCTTCAATGGCGGCAATGGAGTCGCCTTCAATTTCGTTATGAATGACATGATTGCGACAAATACTACTATATCAGGTGGGGTGGCTTATGCGAATGTTGTTGGTGGTGGTGCTGTTGGTGGTGGGTGGTTGGTTAGTTGCCTTCTGGCTGGGTGACGGCGGCCCCCCTGCTGTGGCTATCAAATAGTGCGGATGCTGATGCTGATGCCGATGCTGAAGCTTATCGATTTTGCTGAATTCTCAAATGTTGTCGAATTGCTGCCGTTGGGCTACTGATTATGCACTTAACTTAAGACACATTTAAACAAATATTTCTATATACATTAATACATATGTGTGTGTGTGTGTGAATAAAAGCGAAGCAGAATTTTCAATTAGCAAATTTTGTTGATGGAATTTTTCTCTTTACACTAACAATTTTCTTATGCAGCGCACAAATGGCGCCCTATGCGAATGCTCTTATCTGAGTTTTACACATCTTTGGCTCACTTAGCTTAACTCGAACTCGAATTGGTGCAGTGCATCGCCTCAATAGCTCGACCCGAATTATGTGGAATTATTTGAAAAAACAAATCAGAAATTATTATGGAAATTTTATGTAACGTTTAAACGGCAATCCTTTAGCCCTTCAGCAGCGCACAGCAAGAAAAGAAAAATTCTTTGCCTCTTTGGCCCCCCCAGCAAACTGCTCAGAGGACGCACTGCGCAGTCGCCAGCCTCACTGGCAGATGCTGTGTATATTGGTGTCACAAGAGTCAGGTGGTCCCCACTTGGATAACATTCGATGCGTAGCAAATATTTCGTGCAATGCAAATGTACCTTTTTTGTTTGTCTTGAATTTTGAAGCTCTACGCAACTGTTAAATATATTTAACAACGTTTTAATTCTGATTAAATGTTTTTAATAATGGCCAATGTGCCTTATTATTGATCGTTTTATTTTTTAAATAAATTTAGTTTGTAATTAGATTTACATTTAATTTATATATTCGTTAGACTCGCTTTTTATTCGCAATCAATGTGAATCATCGTAATTTATCAAAGACACGAACCCTAGCAAGCAAAAAGTGTACCAAACAGTTCATAAGAGAACCAGTACCAACGTAAGTGGAACTTATGTTAAAAGTTTAGGTACACATTGGTACCACAATTAATTCGATAACAAAAGGTACACATTGCTGCCACGAAATAGTACACAATTCAATTGACTGTTGTTTGGTACTAAATTGTCATTTAATGCGCAAATAATATATTTAATTACCAAACCAACAAATATTTGCACAAAATATTGTTTCAATTTAGATATTTATATAAGGCTGTTAAATGAAATAAATTACGCATATTATTCTATATGCTGTACTTTTATGAAGACAAAAGTCCTTATCTTTTCTGGTACAAGAGCCATACATGCAAAACATACATACATACATAAACATACACATACATACATTAAAACATTATATATTTTCATAGCGAATTTGATTTTATTTCAATGCAAACTAACTTAAGTTTAACATATCTCATATGATAGATTAATAATAGAAAAACTCTAAATATAGTACATTTTGTAAAGAAGGAAATTGGGACGTAGACAGGAGTAGGTAGGGGGAGCAATACTTATGCGTACCGTTAACCAAGCGCTAAACTCTACATTCAAATATAACAAATTTCTGAGCTGGCGGATACTGTGAGCTGCCGCCGTTAATTAATTACTGTAGCAGGTCTTGCGCACACCCGCCAGGATGTTGCTAATCTCATCGTCCTTGCGCGGATGCAGCTGTTGCTGCTGTTGTGGAAGTTGTTGCTGCTGCTGTTGTTGTTGCTGATGTTGTTGTTGCTGCTGCTGCTGTTGCTGTTGCTGCTGTTGTTGCTGTTGCTGCTGTTGATGCTCAAAGAGCATATCGCCCACCATGCCAGGAGATGAGCTGCCGCCATTGGCTGCAAAATGATGATGAGGATGATGATGATGGGCATGGGGATGATGATGATGATGCTGCTGCTGCTGCATAGCCGTGCCTGGCGGCGTTACAGCTGGCGCCTGCTGCGGCAGCAGCTGAGCACCCGCTCCATTGGCGGCCTCATAGTAGTTGCCGTAGTGCAGGTAGCTGCTCTGCATCGGCTGTCCATAGGCAGCTGCGCCGCCAGCGGCCGATGTCTGCTGGAAGGGCACCGCCAGCTGCAGAGGAAAGGCGGTGCAGGCGCCGCTGGCCAGCGAATAGGGCAGCTGTGTGTAGTAGCTGGCGGTGGTGGCTCCACTGTGCGGTGGCCCCGGCGCCGTTAGCAGCATGGCATTGTTATAGGCCTCCGCCTCGTAGTCGTCATAGTTGTGATTGGTGTCCGGATACTTGGCGCACTTCTGTGCCCCGTTGTCGGACGTCGTCGGCGTTGTCGCTGCCGTCGTCTCCTTCAGCTGATCGTAGTCCAGGTCGTTGGTCTGGTAGCGCAGAAAGTCCTCGTACTGCATGCCGTACGCATTGGCATTCACGCTGGACAGGTAATCATTGGACACGGCGCCCAGATCGTTCAAGCTGAGTCGCAGGCTGCCGACGCTGGCGCCGCTGGCGCCGCCG